TTAAAAAAAAATTGACATGTGACAGTTCTGACAATTTGCCTTTTTTTTACTCACAATGTCTCAAGCAAGTAGTCGTTGTGAAAAATTCAAATTTGTATCTGGTGCTATTATAGCGGGAAATCGCGATTATTTTTTCTTGAAAAAAATACTAGGATGGAAGGTAAGTCTGAAATCCATATGCAGATGCTTGTATTTAGCACTTTTATTTTATATTCGTTTCTCAAAAGTTAGTTTTTATCTATGTATCGATTTCGATACATCATGCACTAACGTTCTTTTTGGGAATCTTAGAAAAGGTGATTGTAGTTTCATTTTGGGTTGCGTTTTGAGCTTATTGGAGGTTTGGTTTTGCATGTGGTGTGTTGTTTTCAGACCGGGAGATAGAAAATTTGCTTCAGCGCTTAGAAAATAGCGAAATCAGAGGACGGATTTGAATCAGACGATGACGATATACTGTACCATCTTGGGAAGATTTGATGAGAGAGCTTGAAGATCAACAAGAAGACGAGGGTCATAGATGAAGGTCTAACTAGAATCGATGAAGAGGATCCGCCTTTGGTTAACAATGATGAACAATCACCATTACCAGGTACTAGTTCAGAACTTCCGGCTTTTAGCATGAATACAAGGAATTAAGTATGGAAAAAACAATTACTTGTTAATGAGGATGTAGTCAAATTCGGAAGGAACGAGGAATTGTCTCCAGCGGTGATGTAATTGCAAAGTCGATATCAATTTTTTACCTACTTTTTTACAAATGATATTTTGGAATAAATTTGACAGAAACTACTCGTTATGCTGTTCAGACCAAACCAGATAGACTGGATTCTCTAACAATATCAGACCTGCGTAAATATTTAGGTGTCCTCATATTTATGTCCGTATACCACTATCCTACACGCACACGATCCTACTGGTCCGCAAAGTTTGCTTTCAGCCCTATCAAAGATGCAATTTGAAAAAATTAGAGAGATTCTGCATCTCAACAATAATGAAAATCATTTACCTGTGTGTCATCCTCACCATGATATACTTCACAAACTTAAACTAATAATAGAACATCTTAACGCAAAATTTTCAAGAATTACAATAGAACAAGAAGAAGAATAGAAAAATTATCCATGGATGAGCAAATGTGCTTAACGAAAATAGGCCATTTCCTCAAACAATACCTTCCCAACAAACCCCACAACTGGGGGGTTCAAATTGTTTGTCCTCTGCAATTTGATGGGCTATGCCTACAAATTTCAAAGAGCCTGATGATAGATTGCCAAATGAACCATATGTTGGAGTGGTTGGGCAAACAGTTCTGAATCTTCTCAGAATAGTTCCGAGGCAACAAAACCACAGTGTCGATTTTGAAATTTTTTATATGTCATTGCCTTTGATGTACGTAGTAGCTAAAGAGGGAATACACTTCTTGGGAACTATACAACGAAACCGCTTAGGTAAGTCATGTAAGCTTCCGTAAAAACAGGATGTTATGGAAAATACAGTAGCCCGAGGTTCATACGATGAATATGTCACAAATTTCGAATGGCGTAGATATAACCACCGTAAACTGGAAGGATAATAAATAAGTTATATTATCGACTCATTTTATTCAGATACACGTGGAGGCCAGAACAGAAACTGTCACGTAAGTGGAATTCTGACCTAGGCTTTGCAAAAACATATCATAGACATTATGGGCCACAAATTAATGATTCCCTGTCACAACCATTTAGAAGTGAATACTGATCACGGGATTAATATAGAACAGAAAAAGATAAAACAAGTCCAAATCTATCAACTGCATGATTTGTAAGACAATTGGTAAGATCAAGTAGGTAGTTGCAAATTTAAAGTGGTTGAACCGAAGAACACCAATTTTTTCGATACTTTTCTTCATTGCTGAGGGTCTGTTAGTATTAAGACACACCGATGTTGATGGACAACTATTTAAATGGCTCAATAAAAACTTCACTCACAAGTCTATGACAGATTATGACAATGAACTCACTAGATATTTCTTAAAAAACCAACTTAGAAGAAGACACATTTTTTTAAATTTAGTTTGAAAAGAATAAGTTCATCTGCACCTGATACTTTTTCCATAATATTGTTGCAACCATTGCCGATGTGATATCCAAAAAAGAAAGACAATTAAATTTCTTTACTTTCCTTATTACTTGATAATAAATCAACGTAACAAGCACACTTTATATATTTAATATGGTCAGTGGGTAGCCTTTAACTTTAACAATATCTTTTAATTTAGGTTTTTGCTGTTCCTGAAAAGTATGACATTTAGATTTTATTGGTTTAGTCTACCGACTCTAGAATTATGCATTTTTTTACACCTCGACTTCCCCAAAAAACCCAGCAGCTGCCAATGAAGGAAGGCCACGAAGGCCCACGAACGCGTCAAAAACTCAGGACAAGCCAAGCGACAATGGTTTATACTAAGTGAAAACAATGAGATGTACGGATCACAGAATGATCATTCAGGATTTCAGAGTATTCATAAGTCCCTAAACACGAACACTTTTTGTATTTATGTAAGTCCATTATGTACAAGAAAATTTATATGCAACAGCCAAACTTGTTATATAATAAAAGATTGATAAGTTACGTGGATAGCAAGTAGATACTCTTACTGCAAAGAGTATTAAAATAACCCACGTTCCAACTCTTACTTCAACGAAACAAGTTTTTTTTTTGGAGTTTATGGCCTGAACAAAGCAAGTTGTTTATGACGCAGTGTTGCCAATGCAAAGAAACGAAAATCAGCAAAAACTGAGTGACCTATTGTATTGATCCTATTTTTTCACACACTTAAAATATGTCTTTAAACATAATTCTACGCATAATACGTAAGTATTTTAAAAACGATTAAAATCAAAGTTGAAAGTATGTATATACCTTACATACAAAAATAATGTGCATTATTTCTGTCATGTTTTTAAGTTATCCGCCATTTCAAATATTTTTGTCGATTAGTTATTTATTATTTTGTATTTAATTTGTAACAAACCTCTATTTACTGTAGTACACCATTTGTCAGATATTTGGATTTCTATTACTTTGATTATAAGGCTCTAGGACGTGTGCATTCTGCCCATACTCACTTATGGCGCCCAATCTTGGTATTTGACAAAACTTTAGAAATCCATATTTCTCATCCATTCTCATCCTAACCACTGCAGGAAATGTCCCACGCGTACGGGATCGCGCAACGAACAACGACGGCCAGCCACCGTAAACGCGGCTCTATGGACAACTAAGAGAGCTAAGTTTGCTCGCCGCAAGACCAGACTTGAGTGTACGACTCATCCCATTCCGTTTGCGACTCAAAGCCATCGGATTATCACCGATGGGGCCCACTAGGGCCGTTATCCGCCAGGTTTGTGAATGCAAGCGCAAAAATATACTACGACACTGGCCTGGAACAGAATAAGGAACGGAGTGGTTTTTAGTCGGCAAAGGTCAAAGCAAATCCCCTCCTCATAAAAAAGGTCTAGAAGGACATGGAGGGACGAAGTTGATTATTCGCAGAAAGCTTTGTGCAGAGAGAAATTAAAGAGAGACTTTGGCATGCAGTGAATTTTTTTTTATGGTACAGGTCGGCAAACGAGCTCTCGGGTTACCTTTGGTAAGAAATCGACGTCGGCGCCGCCCATGGACACCCGTAACACCAAAGGAGTTAGAGTGTGTTGCCGACCTTTTGGAGATAAGGGTTTCAGGTATTTAAGGCGGATGGGGGAGAGGGAGAGGGATAGGCCTACAGTAACCTCATTCACCCGTCGCCAATAATAAATCAGCTACGCAAGCGAACGGTTGTTGTTTCTCTCTCCGCCGACCGCCCTAATACTCGCCTACAGTTCAGGAAGGATTGGTCCTTCGGTAAGCTCACTCACACGGCAAATCACAACGCTGTTGTTATTTCACGCCGGTTTTCTGTGAGGCCGTGGTGTCACTCCGGTCGAGCCGACCCAATCGTGCCGAAGCTTGACTCTCCCACACTTAAAAGTTAGTCGGCAACGGCTGATAATAAAAATATATCAATAATTCATAACAGTTAGTACGAATGTACCCTTAAGTATTTGATAATATTTTATTCATCTTGTATAAACAAAAATCATTATTTTTATAAGTTTAAAATTAAAGTTATTGTATATAACAAATTGCTCACATGAATTAACTGAGGAAAGCTCTTCTAGTTTCAAGTCATGAACTGAGCTTTTCTCCGTTAATTCTTGTGAGCAATTTGTTATACAGGGTGTAAACAGACACTTAACGAAGCCGAAAGCCACGTATTCTACCCATTATTTGGATATTTTTTTTCTTTAAGACCATAGCTGGGACTCCACGGGTTCTCGAGATATTGAAGGTCAAAGATGCATTTTTAATTTTTCTTTTTTTGCACAATCGAATTCTTAGTATTATTAGGTACAAAACTTTTTTCCAAACAAACATTACCTGAATTTTCGATTTTTCTAAATAAATTACGCATTACAAGTTACAAACAGTAATGTACGTAATAAATAAATGCAGACCCGCACAAAAAACATCGTGCATCTCAGTAGGATTTATATTTTACAGAATTGCTTTGTTGTTGCGAAGTAAAACGTCGACATACGTACTTATTACAGCGTTTTAATGCTAAGCTGTGAACCTTCGCACACAATGACACGAAGCCCGTTTGCTTTACATTGTGCGCAATAAAATTATTATTTTTTTTTGATACCTAAAAATAAAAGTCGTTTCCCAGTGATAATTTTAGCGTAAAGCTACTTAGTTAGAACTGCAGTATGTTAAGTGTCTTTTTACACCCCGTATAGTAATTTTTTCATGTCCCACAAGCTGTTTTTGTAGTATGACTACGTTATGACTATTAATCCCATTGACATTAATGATTGATTTATTTTTTCTATACGTAGATATAGAATCCGATATAGAATTAACTTTTTTTTTCTTGGATGGCAACCGATGTTTTCACTGTCTGGTTTGACAAGTACCTGTCAACCTAAACTTGACAATAATAAAACATCATTTTCAGTTGTCAGTTGTCACTTGTCACAAAAAACCGAATGCAATGATGAATTAGCTATTAGGCAGGCTATAAAATACAACAAAATCTTCAAAATTACTTATACGTCGTTCAACTTTAAACACAGAAGCGCGTTTCCAGCAGAACAGCAGTGAATTTTAATTTGTGTAGTTAATTGGTCTTAATAATTTGTTTTTGATAATACTGTGTACAAAATGTCGCAAGCTCGCTTCGCATCGTGTATTCCACTGCCGATTGAGCATAAAACCTTAGTGAACGTGATAGAAAAAGCTAGAGATTGGGGTTTGATGCATGGTGTAGCCATGAGAGATAAGAAACATTTCAACAAAGATGTTATTCAGGTTATTTCTTCATTTTCTATTTACTACAGCAGTTACTGAAACACGAAAGAGGTTTTTGATTTTAAGTTTGAGATTTGTACCTGAAAATATTGAATATAATACAATTATTGAGGACAACCCTTTTCTGCTACATTTTTTTTTATTGTTCATTAAATATATTTTTTTAATTACAATGGGTAATATTGCCGAGTGTTCTAAGCAATGGGATGTTCGTGCTTGTTAAATGCATATCTTTATAATAAGCATTTTAGTGTCTTTTAGTTAGATTTCCTGTTTCTTACCTTAATATTTATTTTACATCAGATATTGTCACACATTGACCGTCTCTCATACCTGCATGATTAGTATTATTAAAAAATTATATATTTTTCTACATTTCTTTAAATTTATCTTAACTATTTAGCAACTTCAAAATTGGTAGGGTAGGTATACATTAGGATGTAATACTAGAGAAAAAAAATATGAAAGTGTAATTTGCTTTTATTGGTCAAAAAAGTTAAAGGTGAGAGATCAGTTAGTAAGGTAGTAAGCTAGTGTACTTGAGAAAAAACTTTCCATATACATAAGAAATCATTATCATACAAAGTTATTGAATATCTCTTGACGTTTCAAAAGTACCTATTTATGGTTTAGTTGGAATAAATGATTTTGACTTAGACTTTGACTTTGACTCAAAAACTTTTAGAATGCACTCTTGTTATTATATCAGCACTTTAAAGCAGTGGTTTCACTCAAGAGCAAGCAGAAATTAATGTTCATTTCTTACAGGTTGCACCATTTGTGTTATTACCGTCACCATTTCCAAGGACGGAATTTGAAAAGGCTGTTGAGTTACAGCCAATCCTAAATGAACTAATGCATAAGGTATGTTACTTTTCTATGAATTTATTATTTATTAGTAACGAAGTAGTTAAAACCTTAGTAAAATTGTATGTATTCTATTTATCACAAAAACTTTATGTACCTACAGTAAAATATAAAAGTTATCACACTTTCACTGATAGGTTTTATTATATATGTTTTTTGTTGAAGTAAATATTTTTCTTACATTATTTTCGTTATTTAGGTGATAATATTTAGAGTTAGCATTAGTAAATAGGTCAGAGTTTTGCTGCCACAAATTCATTGATATCAAGCAGACAACCCCTTTTTTGCATGTTTTTTTTTTAATAATAGATTGGCAAACAGGCAGACACATTATCTGATGGTAAGCAATCAGCGCCGCCCGTGGACACCCGCAACGAATTACGAGTGCGTTGCCGACCTCCTGGGGATTAGGGATTTGGAGATTTAGGAATTGGGGGTGGGGAAGCATTGGACCTCTGGTAACCTCACCCCCAACAGCGAAATACAAAGCTGTGGTTGTTTCACGCCGGTTTTCTGTGAGGCTGTGGTAGCACTCCAGTCAAGTCGGTCACATTTTGTCGTTTATAATCTTTGGAATTGGTAAAAATATTATTTGTGAATCTGACTAAGTAGTTGGAATATTCAATACTTTTAAACGAATAAATATACAGAAAGCATCAAAATAATGTAGGGCTAGGTTAGGATGAGAGGGAGTACTATCAGACTCTTACTTACGAAAAAATAATAGCCTTGGGTGTACTTTTATAGTGCATACAGCCCCTCGTACGCCTTCCAAAGCTCTGGGTTTCTCCTCTTCGTGCTGCAGGCCGAGGCCGCGATCTCTTTTTACGCTTGCTCCTTTTCTTCTCCTTCTTCCTTTGGTTTAACATCAGTCCTCTTGAGCCCCATCCGTGGTGGTATATTGGTACTTTGAACCGATCTGGTTCTGTTCCGGCGGCGAGGTACCCTTGGTCGCCGTCCAATCCGGTAGTTTCCATCTAGCCAAATTCAATAATTTAATTCATATGTCAAAAACGATACTTTTCTATGAAATACTGAGTTGTGTCGTCATAGTATTTTAATGTCAAATTGGTATTTATTTCTTAAAAATTAGCTAAAAAATATCTAAAATTTAGTGTGTGTTTTTATCGATCGAATGAAAGTATAGTTATTTTTCAATATAATTATTGAAATTTTGTATTGAAACGTCGATAATTTATTTTTGACCCAATATATAAGATGATATAAGATGCAAGTAAACCTGAGATGCAATACATGAATGGACATTTGTTTCCAGCGGTTCAATAATTTGTGATCCTAAAGTCAGTATTAAATTATAGGTGGCGCATAACAATGAATTTTTGGAGCATACATTACAAAATGCATTACAAGTGGATGAATTTACGAAGAACTTATACGACATATGGGTGAAAGTACGCAACGAGGTCATAACACAGGTACTCATTATTATTTATTTTTACGAACAAAACATGAGTGTGGTCTACGTTGCTATTAACTAGATTATTTAATTTTTATTTCTAGTACAAACTCATTTTAAATTTATATAAAATGGTGATATGGGTTTGATGATGGCCAAGCTACAAATTGTGGTTCATGGTACATTTATTTTAAATACAGTGCAATTATTTTGCAGTTCAGTAATAGTTGGAAATGACAGAAGAATTGAACGGATGGGAGTCAAGTTACTTCAAGCAACTTTGCTTTTTAATAAGCATTATTTTTCAGTGACAGAGGACTGCTTCAAATTAGTACCTTAGGTTCAGTTTACAAATTATTACTAACTTTGAATGAGTTTATAACTAATTTAATAAAATATATATACTTACTAAAATTTTTGTGAAGCAAAACTAATCACGCTCATGTTTTGTTCAAATTTTCTTGACACACGCACAAACGATTGGATAATGAATCAATAAATTCAATGAAATATAACTTTATGAAGTTATAGAATCGTTTCTGCATGTGATTTAGTGTCCGTATCACGCTCATGTTCATACTAACTGTCGGCGTTCAAATGTCATGTAAAATGTGCTATGTGGCGTAGCCAATATCACTAGGAATGCTGCGCTCCGACATTATGCTGGAATCACGCTGTCCACACACCGAGAACCAGTGTGCTAAACATACCCCATACTGCTCCTGGAAGCAGGTGGAAATCAACAGCATCGCGTCAGGATTCGGACACCTGGGACCCGTTTCCAGAGAAATACAGAGGTAGAGGATTGTAGAGCTCGTTCGTGTACAGCCGCATTCACACATTTATTTAAGAAAATAGTAATATTATTTATTACCTATCGTATAATTTTGTCCTATATTTTTTTTTATAAAAGCTGGAGAGTTTGCTTGTTTGAACGCGCTAATCTCCAGAACTACTGGTTCAAATTAAATAATTATTAATGAAACCGCGCGACAGAAGCTAGTATAACATGATATGATAATATTATTGCATTAAATCCGCCTTTGTACAAATTGTGCAAGAAGTTTTAATAATTCATTAAAAGGTTTCTTCTTATTATAAAAAAGTTCGCATTTTCAACTTCTTATAAAAAAATAATAAAGGTTAAAATATTATAAAAAAAAGTTGACAAAAATAAGTTGCCTTTTGCGGTTGCCTGCTGACCCGTAATAAGTTTTCTTTGGCGGCGCTAGTGCAGCATTATGTCAGTTGATGAAACGAACATTTACTATCATTCCTTCGATTTAAACAATCGCATGACGCACGATAATTTTAAACATAGGTACACCTAACAAACCATATGCGTCCATTGAATAAATACAATTCGCTATGGTTACACTATTGTTTTGCGCGTGTAAAGTAACCTTGTAAAGGACATTACTACAATAATAATTATTATAAAGTATTATAATAATTATAATGTGTGAATGGGGCTAGCGACCAGTCTCTGCTTGAAAATAACAAAAGCGGGCGGGCGATTCGTTCAGTTGTGCCTGTCATTTATGTTTAATACATAGATTACTAGAAATTGTTCAATACTCTTGTATGGTATCAAAAATATAGGTATGGCTTTTCGTGAAGGCAGGGTAGGATACATTTCTCTATTGCGGGAATTGATAGAACAGATAAAGTACCCTTATTCGTTATGTGTAACTAGCTACCGCATGCGGCTTCGCCCGCGTGGTATGTTGATAAAAAGCCTATGTCCTATTCCGGAGTGTTTCCTATGCCTGTCCAGATCCGTCTAGCCGTTTTGGCGTGATTGAGTAACAAACATCCCAACATCGTAACTTTCGCATTTATAATATTAGTCAGATAGAGATCGGATAGCAAATGCTCTTACAACCTTAAGCTTTGCGATTTTTAACCTACTTTATAAACATTACCCTAATATCATCAGCCTATAAGTGCCCACTGCTGAGCAAAGGTCTCTTCTCACACGGAGATCGTTTGAGTATTGTCGCCTCGCATCCCCAAGGCGGATTGGCGAATTCAAACTTGAAGAAATTAATAGTCACGGTTTCACCACAATGTATTCCTTCATTGTTAATTATTGGAAAAAGCCTTCCAAGTGTTACCCTCCGCAACCACGTATCTGACAAGGATAAAGGTAGTTCCCATCCATTTTTATGTGGAAGAGGCCCATAACGCTGCTTTGAACTGCCACAGACTTTTCATTTGACTTATATGTATTCGGAAGCTTCACCACTTGTTTTCAAATCATTTTTCTCAGGATTCTTTTTTCAATTTTTTTTAATGACATTCATTTTATTTATATACATTCATTAACAAATTTAAATTGCTTGAATCTGAAATTATGATACCTAAGCCAAAGTATGACAATTTCTAGTTTTTTTTTTATTATCGTAATTATTGTGACTAACACACTAACTGCCTATATTAAAATTAAAAAGCAAATACCAATTTTATCAATCAGTTGACTCTAGGACTGTACTCAATTTTTCAAATAGTAAATGATTTATAGGAATAATAGTGTACATTCCTGAGTCAAAGAAAATTAACATTTTTTGTATGTTTGTCAATTAACAATGTGCTAATTTTTTAACATAGAATTTGCTAGTATATTTTTTATGTAGGGTAACACTAAAATTGTTTTTTTTTTTAGTTTATTGTTACTGTTAAAGCTCTAGATTTTTAATCTTAAATTGCATGACTGTTATTTTTTATAATAACGGACAACTGAACTTGTTGCCCGCTAAAACATGTTATTGTATAATAATGATAGTCAAATATTATTTATTTGATATGGTACCATTATTCGTTATGCTTAAGATAGTTATAGATAGATAGCTAGCGGAACCAGCTTATTGTTTATATACCGGCTGTTTTGATAAAAATCGAATGAATTGAAGCTAAAAAAATAAATATACAAGCTGAAAATTTCTTGTCAATAATTATTTTTATTCGAAACAAAAATCTAAGTACAAAAATTAAAAAAAAGGTGACATATATAATAAGATTGAAATTAAAAATTTGAAATATGTGTATGTACTGATTCTTTTTTACATTTTTTTAATTCGCTTTAAGAAGACCTATTTTCAATTGCACGTTTTTTATCGAACAACCGCTTGTAGTTAGTAGGTAGTACATTTGAAATCAAAACTGTATTTGTAAATCTTGCTGTATATAATGCCACGTTACGACTGCCTTGTATATTTTACGTAGAATGTTACAATACGTATGTTCTCGACAATATTGTTACTTCCAATATCAATTTCCGACTATTGTCTATTACGAACACAAGACATATCCATGAGAAGTTCGAATTGAAGTCACAGATTATAAAACAAAAGGTTTTTTTAATCTGTGATTGAAGTGAAGTATATAAAATGGCGGGAAATGGGAATACGGACAATGCAATTGAATAGTTTTTCAGTTAAAAAATATATTTATTTTACTTAAATCATTTAACTCACACCTTAGTACATTGATTGATTTAACCAAAAACTAGAACATGCTTTATGACACCGGAAGGTTTGAACTTTTTTGATTTTATGTTAAACCCCCGGCATGAAACATGTCAAGATTTTTTTTGACGGGAAAGGTCTGGCGCACTAAAATATGATTAATGCTGGTCAACTTGAAAGAAATGTAATATAAGAAAAGTAAAAGAATTTGTGTTGGGAAAATACACTAGACATGAACTTACCCCACCACGAAAAATCATGTCATGATTCGTGCCGGGTATTATAGCTGTATAAAAAATAAACGTCATGGGAAAAACATAAGGAATGAAGAACACTCAATGGCGATAAGTTTGTTATATAAACAAGGAAAATATTAATGGAATGGCAAAGCATTGATTGATTCACCGTCCATTGTTTTTAAGTAAAATCCCTACGTTCCCTTTGAATCATAGAGGGAGGAAGATAATGCATAGTTGTAGTACAAACAGGATGATTTTAGCGGGAAAATAATATGCCTATAGACACAATATTGTTAGTCTGTGGCTATAGCTTATTTCCTTTAAGCAAAGCTTACGGGAAATTGCAATTAATACAATCTTTAAGGATATTACTTATGAGTCATGTTTTCAATTCTAATTCGTATGGGTAAACCATTGAAACTATTATGAATAAGAGAATTTACCTAAACCACAAACAAACTATGCTAACTTACTTGTGGTATTAAATAAGCAACAATTAAGTATGTTGTACTGTCCAAACGACAATGACATTCCTAATTTCGGTGTAAAATGACAGTTAAAAATATACCTAATTCTTTATTTGAATTTGTAATATTCTGTTCTTAGTTTTTTTTTTCAGTAATTGTAATGCAAGCTCCAATACGGAAATGTGACTTGATAATAAAATCTAAAATATTTAGAATTCTGTTATTATTTTTGTTTTATTTGGTTATTAAAGGTCTATGAAATGGATTATTTGGTACCATTCCAGTATTTGAGCATTCACAAAGTAATAAAAAAAGCATTTGGGCGGCTGTTTTTTTATAAAGTAACAATGCTTTAATTTAAGAACATTATATTAATTAGAAATACAGCAAAATGATGTATTTACACACTCAATATAGGTACCTACTTATGTTATGTCTTAGAATATAATTGTAAATATTAGTTAAAAGGTGGCGGTGCGAACGCGGAGAACATGAAGAATAAAACACAAAAATCATCTTCTCATAAATATTTAGAGTGGATTGGACAGAAATTCACATAATTAAATATTTCAGTCGGTCAGCCTCGGTCTCTTCCGGTCCGATTACCTGATGCAGAACAAGGAGCATAATAAAATCAAGCAAGTGGAGTTTAACACAGTGGCCTCGAGCTTCGGAGCCATGACGTCGTTCCTACCAACAATGTCTCGGTACCGACAACGCTGTACGGCCTGGGTAAATGCCTGGGTACTTGTTATCGACAATTGCAAGGCCAATGCGCCTCCTTAGAGAACCTAGTTGACGTTAAGTACCCAGGCACGTACCTTCACCAAACAGCTGAACATCTCTCATGTGGCTGCTGTTCTTTTCTTCTATTTGCACGCTGCATCTACCTATTCTCAACCACTTAGAGCTTCCTGTATCTTTGTACGTGTTCGTATTTTTCCGTTGTTTGTTGCACTGTACGCTGTACGCTTTGCTTCAATTGGTGGCAGATCAGGCATGGTAGAATTATTACCGCTTCCTATATGTAATTTGTATGATGCATTTTATTTGGTTTCCAGATATAAAATCGTATCCTTAGATTTAGGTAAGCAGTATTTAATTAATTGGCTCTCATCAGATCACGTGCATGTATTTATTTATTTGGATTGTAAGCTTTGATCCCTTTGTCCTGGCACGTTCACTTGAGAGATGTTACCTGTCCACGCCTGCATTGTAGGTTTACTCAAATCCGTTAATTTTCAAAATTCCATATGTTGATTAAATATAAAGATTTTTTTATTGTAAATAGTAATCGAAATGTGTATGTCTGTCCAATCTTTGCTGGGTATGGCTTAGGGTACACATCTTTCAAAATTTGTTTTTGGTGCTTACCTACCTTTGTTCCATTCATACACACATGCACAGATTTCACTCAATCAATACATTATTGTTATATCACAACGCGTCCTTGTGCTTTTACTGTTTGGTTTAAAAATATATTATTATTTTACACATGTATGACGTGGCATACTGGCCATTGTCACGTCCCTCGCGTTCAGTTTGATATTACAAGCATCACATATCAACAAAACCACTACTCGGCCTTTATTTACAAAATAAATTAACACTCAAATAGGAAATTCTGCTGTATTTTGAGTCGAGATTCCCTCATTTATTCTGAAAAGAAGAGCGTCGGGTATAATATTTATTAGGTTTGCAAGTATTGTTTCAATAAAAATATTGCGTAACTGCAGTAAAATGTATCTTTGCAAGGCGAATAAAGTAATGTACGATAATGTTGGCGAATAAAGATTTCCTATAATGCGTTCAAGGTCAGCCGGGGAAGCGGTGCGAGCGCAATAAGCCAGCTCGCGGTTGTACCGCGGCTTGGCTTGGAGCTGGAGAAGGAAATGGGTGATTTGTCAGCAAGAGTCTGGAACGCTCTCGCCTCACCCAGAACCCCGAAGTCATTGGTGATTTTCTCCCTAAAGTTTTATTTTTGTAGGCAAGGTAGCCTAGAAAAATAAAAGTTGCTTACTTGCTTCCAGTTCAGCATTGGATGTATTTTTTATTTGTATCGTGGAAATCTGTTCCATTTAAATCACTCAAATTACCTACTGCGATTTCTGAGTGCTGCTATGCTCTGGGTATTACTTATTTTTTCTCCTGCTCCAAGTCGAGCCGCTGTACGTTATTGCGCTAAAGCTGCAACCAAATCATGCTTGAGTGAGCCATGCCAGTTTGTGGCTAAGTTGCACATCTTGTGTCAGAACTCTTGTAATTTACAATAGTTACGTTACCTTAATAATTACGTAAATAAAACTTGCAATATCTTAAAATCAACTAAGGGCGAGATGGTAATGATTTTTTTGACTAAGCTGTTACGATCCTATATACAAGAAGTATTGCAATGCCTTGCCTAACATCGTAAAGTTGTCATATCATTACCACCCGTAATGAACAAAATCCTACGTAGATAATAGTCTGTTATCTTATTTATCTCATTGACTCGTATATATGAATATGAGTACTTGTTTACTTAATAAAACAAAGTGCTGATTCATTGAAGATTCGCCATCTTTTTTTTTGTATGACTGATGACAGCAACTGTCAAAGTCATATGAGTAAAGTTTATGATTTAGTTTTTACTGTAAAATGCATATGCATAGTATAAATAAAAACGTTTTGGATAATTTCACCAATCATTTAATATTTTTAGCATGAGCGAAACTGATACGTTTTTAAATTTTACTGACGTAATCGTACTCTTTGAGTATAAGAATTTATTTACACGTATCTCTTTATTATCTATAAATCTATTTAATGGTAATTATTGGTTATGCTGTATTTTATAAAAATAAAATTACTATAATTAACGGCTCGGAAAGTACGTAATACAGACGCCTGATCCCTTGCCCCATACGGCGGATTGTCGTTACATTTTGTCAAATGAGGAACAGAGATGGCACCAGTGATTGTATATTCACTGATGTTCTCTAAAATCGACTATGACATTCAAAGGTCTACGTCGAAATCGTAAGATTTTGAAATTGACACGGACTAAAAAAAACATCGGTAGCTTACCTAATCAAACAATATGGTTCGTTCCCCAACAGCAGTTTCAGAAGATTTTCTTTTTTATTATTATTATTTATTTTACGAAATCAGTGAAATCGCGTTGTCTACTCAATTGTAACGTTTTTTTAAAGAGTAACCAAACTTTTTTTGTGTTTGTTTTTACTTCTTTCTTTTTATTTAACTCAATAAATTGCTGTTTAGAGCTTTTTTATTTTTCTAATTTAATGAATCACATATTAGCCAAAATTATAAATTAAAATGAGGTCCTTATACATATAAGATTGAAGGTTTTTTTCGCAGGGCTATGTGCTCAATAAATCCTAACATACAGCGTTATTTTTAATGCTGATACTAAAATTCTCCACTATTTAGTGGATATTATTATACATATAAACCTTCCTCCTCAATTATATCTAGACAAACCAAATCAACCGCATGAAAATCCGTTGCGTCTTTTTAAAGATTTAAGCATACATAGGGATATAGGGGCCGAGTAAGCGATTTTGATTTAAACTACATATGTAGTGATGTGCCATATAGGTTTATCGCTAAAATATACAGAGGTATTATAACAAGTAAAAGTTCAAAAAGACCGATCACATTTTTTCATGGTACATTTACAAAATGTACCATGAAAAAATGTGATCGGAAATAGTATTAAAATTCATTTTGAATGAAAAAAAAAAACTATGATGTGGTTATTAATAAACTAGCTAATCTTGCGCGGTTTCTCCCACTGCTCGGCTCCTACCGATCGTAGCGTGATCGCCTTCCTCAATAAATGGACTAACATATTTGTTCAGTTCGAACCAGCAGTTGCGGAGGTTAGCGCGTTCAAACAAACAAACAATTCAACTTTATAATGTCAGTATAGATAGGCATAATTATAGTGATAGGTACGTCGGACAACGCTTTTTTTTTTAATAATTAGGTTATTTCCTTATTCTTAATAAATGAGATCTAATACCGATACAGCGTAAATCATTAATAAACCCATTCACGCGGCAGGCCAATATACACCTAATAGGATTTTAACACCTAGGTTATTAACGTACGTGCTGATTGACGGACAATTTAACTTTAAGGTTCAAAACTGCCTGTTCAAGTATTATTTAAATGTTTTCAATTTGGCTTGACATATCCTTACATCATCATAACCTTACATGTTATAAAAAATACCTCTGTCACTTCTGACAGCAATAAACTCGAAAACTACTAGACGAATTTGTGTACTGTTTTTATCAATGTAATTTCAGAGAAAGGTCTAGTTTTGTCAGTGGCGTTGAAGCCCATCTGATTATAATTAAAATGTGTTTAAGGAAAAACTTAAAAAATTGTAGTAGGTATTTTTCATAAATTCTGAGGTTTAAGTCTTGCGAAATTTAACAGCTAATCAATAACTCAAAGAAAGGGCAACGACCTTATATTATTTATTCGTCACTGTATGTCGGTTTAAGATAATATTCGAGTATTTTTTTTTTCAACTATTACATGTGCGTACAAAGAAAAAAAATTGTAGTGCCGAGAAAACATTTGAAATTTACGATGTGTGTATTAATTCGTTCGGCCAATTTATCTGTGTTCTCATAATTCATCTTGTCACTTGTTATATTATATCTATTCATATTTGTCACCGTACATTTTGTTTTATTTGTACATGCATACATAAAGTCACGCTTTGACTCATGATACGCAAAATAAATAGCGTATCGAATAGTACTATATTCTTATTTAATTGGGAAAAGTTTTTTTCATTCGATGACTTCTGTTTGGGGTGAAAGAAGGTCACCAGAGGGTAAGAAAAAAAGAGAGAGCTCTTTCTTTCTCTGTCTCTCTGACTCTTAACAACGAAAAATTACTATTGTATCTCCTATCTGCAACACCAACCGAGCATTGGTCCTTGTGTCCCTTTTTGTCGTGGTCTAATAGTTCTGATTGGCGTCCACGGGACGATATACTTTTTTAACTTCCATCTCATTCCACCTGGTCAGATTTAACTGCCAGGATTATTCACCAATCCAAATTTAAAAACTAAATTGGCTGCAATTAATTAAATCAACAAACAAATTTGTATGGCTGAAACAATATATGGTGATAGTAGTTTGTATGTAGGGGGTAATCTTCGGAACCGCTGGTCGCATTGCCATACTTCTTGCTCTGATAGCACTCAAGAATATTGTAGCTACCTATCTATCAGTGAAATAATTTTGGCAAAGATCCGAGGGGCGAGCTGAGCCTACACCATCCGACCAGCGGTTGCAAAGATTACCCCCAACATATGAACTTACAAACTTACAAATTTTAACTGTTTATAATATTTGTGTAGATCCCCGCGGTTGTGTATATTTATAATTGGATACTGTCTTTCTTGATATCTATAGTATAATATCGTTACTGGGATTCGTAACGGAACTAGTAAAATGGGTATATTATTAATGGGTTCCAAAAGCGTGATTTTATGTATTTTAGATCTAGTTTATCGTAATTGCCTTTTTAAGTAATAAGTACCCTTTGTTTTGACGTATCGGATGGCGAGCAAGAATTTTTTAATGATCATATATATTCATCATACAATGAATCTCTTTGAAACGTCAAATTCGTATTTTTTTAATTATTTATATGTATTATGATATTGCCATTTGCCAAGGATCACTCAGAGAGCTGTTCTGAAAAATCCGTGCTCGCATTCTAGTCAGTATACCTACTATATGTATTAGCTTTTGCTCGTAGTATTAGTTCTAGAAGTTATTGTTGCACGTCATTTTTGCATGTTATTCATAAATTAGACAAGGTATTATAGTATTTTTTGTATAATCATACGCTTGTTATGAAGTAGAATGTTTTAATAAGGCTTTTTGATATACGACTGAAGTAACTCCTTACAAGAAACAATTTATAAAATTAAAACTACATACCGATTTTTATTAATTACCAACAAAAAACTTAACAAAATTTTGAATTTAGAAAGAATATTGGATGACTTCTGTAAAGAAAGATTAAATCTATGGTCGCTGTTAAAAAAAGCCTTATTATTTCATCTGTGACGTGGCTGGACCTTTATATTACGATGTAGTTGTGTACTGTATTTAAATATAGAATTCAGCATGACGTTTAGTTTGTGAAGATTAATTACCATCACATTAGTTTGTATGTGTGCATGACTTGACAACTATCAAAATGACGTCACTCTTGTCTCAAATAAAATGGCTGACGTGATTCTTGAAACAATAAAATTGTTTGTTAAATTAATTTCTTAGTTTAGTAGTCTATTCAATAGAAACAAACAATCGATCGATATATATTTTTATTTATTTATTAAGTCTCCAATTAATTTTGATCTTAATAACAACGGCAATGAGACAGGAATGACGTCATTATACTTCTTTTATTGTCAATGTGCGACATGACGTTTATGAGTTTGTTTTTTTTTTTCAGCTATATTCTGAGACAGCTAGGTCATACTGAATTAATAAAAAATGTAAGTAGAAAAAAGGATATTTTCTTAATTATAGATTTTATTAATATAAATTTTGTGTTGTTGTTGAAGCGGCCGTGTTACGTGTCGCAGGTTCGATTACCTCACAAAGCAGACCTTTGTGTGAACCACAAATTGTTTTTCCGTGTCTGGGTGTGATGTGTATGTGAAATTGTATGTTTGTAAAAGCACCCACGTCACAGTTAACATCCCAGTGCTGGGTAATGTTATTTAAAGAAAAAAAAATAACCTTTAATTTCTGTTGAAAAAATCTGCAGAGTCAGCCAAATTACGATTTCCAGTTTTTTGTACATAAAAGTAGTTAGTTTTTATTTATGTTGATGTGTTTTTTAGATGCCTGAGAATAAAGCTCTGTCGGGCTTGTGTTCCGGCATCACTGACGCGTACGACCTATTCGGCGTACCAGACGCGGTGGTACTTTTCGTTGTCGAAGAAGTATCATACAACATATGTGACCAAAGGTTCCATGAGTTCGAAATTGCTGAAAAGAGGCCTGATATTATGGTAAGTTGTTTAGAATGGGTAATAGAGTAGCTTTTGACAGCTTTTAATAGCCTTTGATTGGGTATCCGGTAACTTGTTACTCGGTGAAATATTAAGCATACGCAGTTCACGCCAGTTAATAAGGAGGCCGTGGTATCACTCCGGTCGAACCGGCTTATGTATTTTTTTTCAGTTGAAAATCATCAAATGACTTTCCGTCCAGGATGAGGCGAAAGAAAGTGTCACACTCTTACTGACTAAACCCCTTACCCCCGTTCCTTCTCCTGCCGAGACCGCGGTGCCCCATTGCGCTTTCCCCGCTGATTCGTGTAGAAATATTATAACATGCTAAGCCTGCGTGAATTGCAACGTCTTTTTATTAGGGGATCAATAGACTAATAATTAATAGACCACCACTGACGAGGTCTTACAGGGCCGATCTTCAGCCAGGATTTCGGGGCTAGCGCAATAAGGTATCCCGGCTTCCGGCTTAAAGCAGGGGTAGGAACGAAGGGTTTATAGTAATATAGTCAGTAAGTGTCTGACACACCCTCTCGCCTCACCCTGGACGGTAAAAATAATGTCATGAGATCCCGCTCACTGAAAAAAAGGTAAAAGAGGGATCAATAGAATTTTTTTTAATGTGATAGCGTCCTATCAAACGAGTTGACGGATTACCTGATGGTAAGCAATCAGCGACGCCCATGGACACCCGCAACAATCCAAGGGCGTTTTTAAGACCGGATCGCAGCGGTCTCTGATAAACCTGAACCTCTTAAACTGCAATCTCCCGTTGCCTGCTATTTTAAGTTTCACTAATATTGATTCAAATTTTCCCTCAGATTCATAGGAAAACATTGAATGAGATTTATGAAGAAACCACTCTGAATGACAAGAAGCAACTAATTCTGTAAGTACATACTCACTTAATAGATAAATAATAAACTTCTTTCTCAAAAAGACACACACACACACACACACTTTCAAACACACATGTATTTTCAAATTTCACTCCAATATCAGATGCTATCATACAAAGAAAGAAAGAATACAGTTTTTTCAAATTTAAAGAATTTCAACATTAAAATACAAATATAACGTGTCTCAATTAGGCTCCGCCCCTATCCGCTTTTATACAAATACGAATCTTTTTTTTTCGGATCCGGTTACGGATTTTTTGTTATCGGATATCCGATAATTTCGGTTACGATTACGAAGCTCCCTAACATCCCTGCTTTGTAGCTAGTTTTATAATAAAATCTAGGTGCTGAACATTTCTCCACTATTCAATAAATAAATAAATGTTATCATACAAACCTTCCTTTGCAATCATTCTATCTATTAAAAAAACCGCAACAAAATTCGTTGCGTAGTTTTAAAGATTTAAGCGTGCATATGGATATAGGGACAGAGAAAGCGACTTTGTTTTAAACTATATAGTGGTTTTGGGTGATTCTCCAAAAAACCTTAACTTTTATTTAACAAGTCATTATCCTCCCAGGTTTTTAAGCATCTTAGTAATTTATTTTATACAATATTTTTAATCGGTTGCTTGTAAGCAGTGGTGAGATTTAATTTAATAAAATAATTATCTGTGTTTTAATCAGCAGACTCGTTAATTTTCGGTTGAGGATAATGACATTATTAATTTTTTTTAATTGATGTGAAGAATCACCCTTTTATCAATACTTCTATGCAATATTATAAAGAGGTTAAGTTAGTAAGTTTGTTTGTATGTGAGGGGTAGGTAATCTTTGGTACCGCTGGTCGGATTGCCAAATCTTTCACTGATAGATAGCTACAATGTTCTTGAGTGCTATAGGCTATAAAACATTACGCTACGATTAAATGGGAGCCGAGCAGCGGGTGAAACCGCGCGAGAACAGCTAGTGTTTCAGAAGTGCTTATATGTAGTGTTATGGTAGTAGTAAATACATTGATTTTTGTTTTATTATGTTCTAGGGATGGACGCCCAGTTGCTGTGGTGTACTACCGGTCAGGATATGAGCCCGCCCAGTACCCATCCCAGAGGGAATGGGATGCTAGACTAAGAGTCGAACGGTCCACGTAAGTGTTGACAATAATTATTATCAACATCATATAACACACACCTCATCATCTTCCTGCCCTTGTCCCGTTTTATTTGGGGTCGGCGCAATATGTTTTCTTCTTCCATTCTGTCCTGTCACTCGTCACGCTATCGCTAACTTCTCTGTCTCCCATATCATTTCTCACACAATCCATCCATATTTTCTTTGGTCTCCCTCTCCCTCTCCATCCACATTTAAAACATCATATAACACACACACGGAGAAAAAATCGCATATTTAATAAAAAACAGAACTAACTCATAAAAGAGGGTAGTTCGAAATTGAACCTTATTATTGAAACCTATTTTGTTTGATTCAAATATCTTTTTTTTTTGAGTTAGGCTTATTTTCTATTCAGCTTACGCTCGGCGGAATGTTCAAGAAATAAATATGGCTTTTGTTTGTAACGAAAAACGTGACGTCACAACACAACGTAAAAAAACATCATGTTAACTACAAATTTTGACAGTTTGAAAAAAAAGTATTAAATTTGACTTGTTTTTTTTTGTTAATAATAAGGTTGTCTGTAAGAAATTGCGTTTACCGATAAGACCGCCCATTGTACTACATTATACCTATGTATCTCAAGATCCTCAAGCTTATTTTATGGTGTACAGTAAAGAGTAAATTATAATAATAATCAATATTGGACAGGGGCAGGGGCCATAGTCTTTCCATAGTTATCATCTACCAGTCCATAGCCACCCACACCCATACAATTTTCTACCATATTGCACAATAGTCCTGCATCAACCTGGTTGTCCTTGGGTGCAGTTTTATAGTGCATACAGGGATAATTGCCAAGCTGATGTCCCATTTCACTAATATTAAAGTTGTTCAACGGGCCTCTGCGAGTTGGCTTCGGCCCCTCGTTCGCCTTCCAAAAGTACCTGACCCGTGAAAGGAAAGAACATATATAATAATAATATTTTGTGTTTTGTGCTGCAGTGCTATCAAATGTCCGTCGATCCAGTACCAGTTGGCCGGTACAAAGAAGGTACAGCAAGCGTTGGCCTCGCCCGGTGTACTGGAAAAGTTCATGGGATCAGGCGCAAACACGGCCCGAGTCCGGGACATATTCACTGGTCTTTATTCGTTGGACTTCGACGAGAACGGAGAGAGGGCAGTCGAAATGGGGCTCAAAGACGCTGAGAAGTAAGTCGTTTTTTCAAGTCATTATTTTATTTATGTTATTAGGTCAGCAAACGAGCGGACGGTTTACCTGATGGTAAGCAATCAGCGCCGCCCATCGACATCCGCAACAACAGAAGAGTTATGAGTGCGTTGTCGACCTTTTGGGGATTAGGGATTTGGAGATTTAGGGATTGGGGGAGGGAAAGGATTATCCCTCCGGTAACCTCACTCACACGGCAAAACACAACACTATGGTTGTTTCACGCCGGTTTTCTGTGAGATCGTGGTATCACTCCGGTCGAGACCCATTCGTGCCGAGGCTTGGCTCTTCCACATTTAAAAGTCATTCCTGCAATATTTGCATCCCCGATCCTTAAAAGGCCGACAACGCACTTTAAACTCTGTTGGCGGTGCAACCTTTGTTTTTTTTTAATTAGAATTAGGCTTACAGTTTATATTTGTTCACGAGATGGCGCTAGTATAGAACTCTCGACTATTGTCCAATAAGAAATTAGCTAGTGTAATCCAAACTAATATTTTAAATGCGAAAGTAACTCTGTCTGTATTTTCATCACGCCTAAACTACTAAACCGAAATTTGGTACAAACATACTCGAGGAAGGACATATGATAGTTTTTATACCTAAAATCAGCAGGAAGTTACTATTCGCGTGCGAGTCGCGTGCAAAAGCTAGTATTAAATATATATACATTGAGTCAACAAAGTATCGGGAATGAATGTTTTTTTTGTGGTTCCAAATTCGAATTTTAATTTTTTTTGTTGTTGTTAGATTGGCATAACTGTTTTCCATTTTGGCGCGGAATTTGAGTTGCATCTGTTATTTATATTAAAAACATTTCTGTTTTTAGTTTTATAATATCTAGTGTGTATTGCGAATTTCATAATGGACAAAAACATCGAACAAAGAGTTGTCTTAAATTTTGCATCGCCAATGAAATTTCGTGTTCGGAGGCACTCAAAATGTTACAGAAGTCGACTTTATCAAAAACACGTGCTTATGAGTGGTACAAAGCGTTCAAAAGCGGTCGAGATGTGATGGAAGATTTGCCTCGTTCTGGTAGGCCATCAACGTCTGCAACTGAAGTTAACATCGCAAAAGTGAAGGAAATAGTGACTGAAAATCCTCATTCAAGTTTGAGGGAGATGGCCGCCGAACTTTCTGTATCTGACGAGTCGATCCGTACCATTTTAACAAATAATTTGGGTATGAAACGTGTTGCCGCTCGGCTAGTCCCAAAAGACCTGAATTTTCTTCAAAAACTAAATCGCATGAAAGTCGGTGAGGACATACTAGAACGAGTCAATACCGACCCAACATTCATGAAACGCATTGTTACTGGTGACGAGACGTGGATTTACGAGTTTGACATGCAAACTAGTCAACAAGCTTCGGAATGGCGCCTTCCAACTGAACCAAAACCGAAAAAACCACGTCAAAGTCGATCAAAAGTCAAAGTCATGTTGACTGTTGTGCACTCAGAATTCTTGCCCGAAGGTCAAACGGTAAATAAAGAATATTATTTGAGCGTTATGCGGCGTTTAAGAGAACAAATTCGACGAAAAAGGCCAGAAATGTGGAAAGAAAATTCTTGGATTTTGCATCACGATAATGCGCCTTCGCACAAGGCCATCATTGTAAACGATTTTTTGTCCAAACACTCAACAAACACCATCGAGCAGCCACCATATTCACCAGATATGGCTCCAGCCGACTTCTTTCTTTTTCCCACACTCAAATTACCCCTTCGTGGCACCCGTTTTCTATCGTTAGAAGACATAAAGGAGAATTCGCGGCGAGCACTGAACTCAATTCCGGAAACAGCGTTTAAAAAAAGTTTCGATGATTGGATTATTCGTTGGCGTAAGTGTATCGTTTTTGAAGGAGCATACTTTGAAGGTGTTAAAATAAATTTAGATGAATAACAAACATTTTGTGTATTATTGACTTTTTCCCGGTACTTTCTTGACAGAGTAGTATATATTTTTTATTTTTATTTAATAGGTCGGCAAACGAGCAGACGGATAACCTGATGGTAAGCAATCAACGCCGCCCATTGACACTCGCAACGGAGGAGTTACGAGTGCGTTGCCGACCTTTTAGGGATTAGGGATTTGGAGATTTAGGGAATAAGGAGGGATTGGGGGAGGGGAAGGATTGGGCCTCCGGTAACCTCACTCACACGGCGAAACACAACGCTGTGGTTGTTTCACGCGGGTCTTCTGTGAGGCCGTGGTATCACTCCGGTCGAGCCGACCCATTCGTGCCGAAGCATGGCTCTCCCACACTTATTATTGGACGTTTATATTTTGAGGGATTGTTATTCTTCCCTTTTCGGCGGCTCATTATCTCTCGAATTCTATTGGACAAGGTAAATTGTTGCTTGTTCGTTCATAGGTTCGTATTGAAGCCGCAGCGGGAAGGCGGCGGCCATAACGTGTACGGCGCAGAAGTCCGCGAAGCTCTACAGCGTATGCGCCACAGCCGCGAGCGAGCCGCCTACATCCTTATGGAGAGAATACTACCGCCACTGGTAATATTTATTTTTATTAATAAGGTTGATAGACAGAAATAATAAAAGAACAACCATGTCTTCGGCATCAAACACGATACACCAAAATATTTAAAGAAAGTAAATAAAAAAAAGAAAAGAAGTTTAAAATCACCAATCGGCATTAAGCAAGCGTTAGGCGTGTGTGTGTGTGTTTGTTGTGTGTGTGTGTGTGTGTGTGTGCGTGTGCGTGTGCGTGTGTGCGTGTGTGTGTGTGTGTGTGTGTGTGTGTGTGTGTGTGTGTGTGTGTGTGTGTGTGTGTGTGTGTGTGTGTGCGCGCGTGTGTGCGTGCGTGTGTGTGTGTGTGTGTGTGTGTGTGTGTGTGTGTGTGTGCGTGCGTGCGTGTGTTTGTGGTGTGTGCATGTGTGTGTGCCTGCCTGCCTGTGAACATCTATTCTAATTATAACTTTATTGTTTACTGCACATAAACAAATACATCATGTCATTTCTTATTCTTGGGCCACACTAACGGAAAATGCCATTAATTATCGCGATAATTGACGTTATTCGTAGGTGTAATTTGATCACTAAACAAATAGTTTAAGGTATGCTTTGCATCGTTTAATATCATCAATTATCGCGATAATTAATGGCATTTCCCGTTAGTGTGGCCCAAGCATTACAAATAGTCTTATTTCAACCGTTCACTTAGTTTTAGAGTTCAGTTGAAAACCAGCGTCAGGCATTTTTTGCTGAATTGGACCTATTTTTTCTTTTTGTTATTTTCTCTATTATTGTTTAAATGATTTTTGTAATATGTAATTTTTTGTACTGTGTGTGTCTGTGTGCTAAATTAATATGTTTGTTTCGTTCTTTCTTTTTTCAAACCTTCTCGGTGTGAGAAGAAGCGTTTGCCTAACAGTGGGTACTTATAGCTAAAAGCTTAAGCTTAAAGGAAAGGCGAATTCATTCTGATTTACTGACTCTTTACAAAATGGTTAATGGCCTTCTTGATGCTCAATTGATAGAAGGTTTAAAGTTCCGGCTTGACCGTCGTAGTAAGCGATATCATCTGCTTTAAATACCACATTTAATAGCCCTCTAACTCGTATGGCAAGATTATATAATGAAAGGGCCATTATGACAGATTATCCCATCGATATTTTCTTCATGAACTTCGCATCATACAGACGCTCCCTACTTAAACAATGTGAACAATGCCCATCGTTATTGCTTTAACACGTTTTTTTTTTGTTTAATTATTAGCTTAGTTATATAAGTCTCAAAAACCTTTCATTTTCAATGTCATGCACACCTGTAATTTGTACAATTGCTTGTGCATCCAATTATTTGATTATTGTGTTTTTTGTATAACATTGGGTGATTGTATTGTTGGTGTGCTTATTTTTAAATAAATAAATAAATAAATAGGCCGATGTTGTCGTTTGCAGGTTCAAGGGTACGTGATACGTCCCGGTGCAGCGATGCCGCCCCCTGTCGTCGATCTAGTGTCCGAACTCGGCATCTTTGGCGTTATCATTGGGTGAGTGCTATCATATTTAAATCACTAGCTCATACCTGCGGCTTTGCTCCCGTCATTTGACTACCTATACTACCGAACCTAGTTACCTACCTACACTTCTCACCCACCCTACTGTCTCTACCTTCTCTTCTCTACCTTCTCTACCCTATCCTATCTTCTCCCAATTCTTAGCTAAATCAGTTCAGCCGTTATTTATTAACCTATAGGTGTAGGTTCGTTGACCTGCAGTTTGAGTTTGCTGAATTGTTTGCTCAATGTTAAATATCGATATTTCAAATCAATGTTACACCAAAAGTACTTGATTCTGCAAGGAAAGAAAAAAATCTAATATTTGAATTTCATATAAAATACGGACAATAAAAAATTTAATAATTCCTATTGTGAAACTTTTAAGTATTCAATGGTTTTTCCTATTGCCAATCCAGGATATTAGTTTATAATATTAAAAAAATATATTTATTTTTTTCAGAACAAGTGACAAGATATTCCACAATCGCCAAGTAGGACATATGCTTCGTACGAAGCTAGCGGACGCCGACGAAGGCGGGGTAGCCGCTGGTCTTGGGGCCTTAGACTCCCCCTATTTAGTAGACATGTAGTACCACATAATACATGTATAACTTTATTTTACATTTATACACAACTCGCAATTATTACACACGCTGTATAAGTTTCAAAAAAAAACAACAACCTGTATACATTTTCCATGCTCAAAAAGAACTCCTTGTATAACTTTAGAATTTATTAAGACATTCTAGGCTGATTTTTCAATGATTAGATAAAAGTTATCTGCAGAAATTAGGATGTTGTCGCGTCAGAATGTTTGTATAAGACAGAGACAGCAACAATTTAATTCCTCAGATAACATTTATCTGACGATTAAAAAATCAGCCTCTGTATATAAAATCTAGGGATGTGCCACCACTCGGCACATAACTAGTCCATATCGAGTTTTGGCGTTATTATATTAAATAAAATAAAATTAACATACAATATCAGTTATAAAAAGCCGTCATTCATGACTTTTTCCAGTTTCAATATTTTGTTTTTTAATTACATTACAATATTTAAACACAGAATTTGAGTTTTTTAGTATGAATTAAACACAATGTTCAAATTTTGCATAATACGTACGCGTTATTTTAGCCTACGTAATTAAAAAAACGTAAACATTTTCAATTTTTTTTTTATTTTCGGTCGATTTTTGACATTCGATTACTTTCTTTAAGGTGTATAGCAGAAACTGGCCATTATTATTTTAGGTCAATAATGGCTTTTCACATACTCCGACTACAATTATTATTAATCTGTCCTAAATTGTAATAAAAAACGTCGATATTAATAATATCGAGATCAACAAATTTTGTGATTATTTTCAAATATATTTAAAGGATTATTAATTTAATACAACAAAATTATGTGCATTTATTTTTATAATTGTGAGAATAATAATTTTAATGAATTCAAAGCAAATTAATGATTTTAAAATATATTAATAGTTAATTTTATTGAATTTTAAAGGCGTAATAAGTCCTTGCCATATTTTTTTGTTGAATAATGAATTGGATTTTATTTTTTTAGAGACATTCCGTTATTTGTTTTTTTTTATCGCGTTTCATTTTTTTTAACAAAATCGTCTTGGGTTTTTTCTATAGCACATTCGGCGATTTTATTAAAAAATAATATTATTAATTAATATTTAGATAAGATTGGATGAATGATAGTTGCAACAAACTTTAATATTATTACATAGAATCAGAATTGATTTGCTTTATTTAAAAAAAAAAAACATTTTTTTTAATAATTTTGAAGTTTGTTGTGACTGTTCATCTTCGGTGCTGAGATAAATACATAGACGTAACTTTATATGTTTTTAATAAATAAATTGCGTGAAACAAATATTTGTTTTTTATTTTCTCTTTTAATTTCAAATTGCGTGGTTAGCTTAGCACAATATTTTGGTCAGTAGCGCTACTCACATGTATAGAATCAACTCATTGACCCCACAGTCAAACCATTACAATGCTTTTGTAGGGCTTAGCTTACTATCTATGTATACATATAGAAATGAATCGCAAAATACACTGATTCTTATTTTGTTATGTGTGTTATTGTCAGGATAAGGTTCTTATAAAAGAAAATTTTAGAAAAGTAGAGGGGAGTGTTTGGTAATAGGGACCCTTTCATCGTAAGCTAGATGATGAGACCCGTGCGAAGCAGGGGCGAGCTGCTAGTTGTTATATAAAGATATGTAAATAAATAGTAAAATATAGTATCGGTACAGTCAAACAATAAATGGTAAGCATTGCAATAAGATTTAAACTTTAAAAAAATAATTTGTAATTTGTTAACGGATAGGGTACGAAATAATATATCAAAACAGATGCCAATGACGTCATGTTTTGATGAAAACGACAGCAACACTATTAGTCAGTCAGACATTATACTTTACATCTGTAGTTCTTAACTTCATTATTCTAATGTGTTCTATATTTTTGAACACTTACTGTATACTACTTAACATTTTGACTGCCCTGCCTGCGCAAATACCTACGAAAGAAATAGGGATTCCAATACTACATCGATATTCAATTTGTGGCTTAGCGTCGAGGGCCGGTTCATGTGATTTTGCTCTGGAAGTTAAAAGGCTAGTTTAGAATTATTTACGCTGACTATATCCTCTTTCACCGCAAGCACATGCGGTCATTTTAAGTTTCCTGATTCCAGCAGTCTTTGATGCTTCATAAAGAAATTGTGCCTCCAGTACGCTCGCCAGGGCAAAAAGTGGGTGTCTAGATCGAAGTAAGTAAAAAATCTCAAAGAATGTTTTTTTTTTAAATAAATTTATTTTAATATAATAAACAATCTACAGAGGCTGATGTTAATTAAATATATTCTGTGTACTTCGACATCTTGGTTTTGAACAGGGTGCCGCCCTCGTTGTAGCCCTCCATGTAGGCGAATTTGGGATGACTTTCGATGACCTGGAGAAGAAAATCAGTATTATAATAAAAAAAACTTTATAGGTTTTTTTTTGTCAGGGGAAAATCATCCAATGACTTCTCCCGCCCAGGATAAGGCGAGAGGGAGTGTCAGACTCTTACTGACTAAAACCCTCCAGTTCCTTTTCCTGCTCTGGGCCGAGGCCGCGGTGCCTCATTGCGCTTGCCCCCCAATCTCGGCTGAAAATCAGCCCTATTGGGCCCCGTCTGTGTTATGGGATAAAGTACGGTACGTATTTGAGCAAACGGTATTTGATTGGTACGCAAATGAGCAAAGAAGTTTTAAAGTGTGGGAAAGCCATGCTTCGACACGAATGGGACGGCTAGACCGGAGTGATACCACGGCCTCACAGAAAAACGGCGTGAAACAACAAGAGCGTTGTATTTGGGCTGGTTTGATGAAGGTTTGGGCCTCCGGTAACTACACTCACACGGCGGAGTGAAGTTACCGGAGGCCCAAACCTTCGCCTACCCCAATCCCTAAATCCCTAAAAGGTCTGCAACGCACTCGTAACTGTGATAAGACGATAAACGAGCGATCAGATTACCTGATGGTGAGCGATTGGTAAGACAAGTGCGTTGCATTCCCTTTTTAAAAGGGCATGGCGTAAGAGTTCTAAGATGACGTCCACCCAGTCGCTGTTTCCTGTGAGGCCTTGGTATCACTCCGGTCGAGTCGGCCCATTCGTGCCTAAGCATGAGGCGAGAAACAACAGTGTTGTGTTTCGCTGTGTGAATAGGCCCAATCCTTCCCCTCACCCAATCCCTAAATCTCGAAATCCCCAAAAGGTCGGCAAAGCACTCGTAACTCTTCCGTTGTTGTGGATTTCCATGGGCAGCGCTGATTGAACGATTGAATGAAAAGTATGGATCTCCCACATTTCAAATATTTAAAATGTAGCAGAGAGCGTCTACTCCAAGGCTAAAAACACAAAAAGGATTTTACTTAAAATAACTCACCTTTATCCTTTCGTAAGCATCATCAGCGCTCGTCAGAAGTTCGGGCACATCCAGCTTAGGTATACCGAATAAGTTCATCAGGAAGAACTTCTGGTTGGTATACAGCATCCGCTGGTCTGCCCAGTCTACTTCACGGGGGAGGCGCCAGTCCTTCATTTTAGGCTCCTCTCGCTCCGTGTACTGGTCAAAGTTGAGACGCTCGATATCTTCAACGACCTGTAACATTATGAAATAATAATATTTATTCAGTTAACTAACTCTATACATTTACATTTAAAAAATGACTAGATCTTTTTTTATTTCTTTAATAGGTCGGCAAACGAGCAGACGGATTACCTGATGGTAAGCAATCAGTGCCGCCCATGGACACCCGCAACGGAGGAGTTACGAGCGCGTTGTTGACCTTTTAGGGATTAGGGTTTTGGAGATTTATGGATTGGGACGGATCGGGGGAGGGGAAGGATTGGGCCTCCGGTAACCTCACTCACACGGCGAAACATAACGCTGTGGTTGTTTCACTCCGGTTTTCTGTGAGGCCGTGGTACCACTCCGGTCGAGCCGACCCATTCGTGGCGAAGCTTGGCTCGCCCACACTTTGATGGTAGGCATTTCCTAACATTGAGTAGAAATATGATAACAAACTCAGGCTCTTTATAGTCTCTTTGTACAAATTTAACTTCACGTAAGTCACTGGTCACCTACTTCAATTGTTTTCTATCGGCAGTCAAAGTCGAAGAAAACTATTTATAAAACCGTAACAGTAATGAGTCTGGTTTTTTTCTTCAAATCGAAAATTACGGAGCAGCTCTTATGTAGACGGAAGGGCTCAGCTTTAGCAGTAATAAAGCAGGCATTGAGAAACAAATAAGAGCTGATTTTCAATGGTTAGATAAAAGTAGCCTGGAGAATAATTATGATGCTGTCGCGTCAGAATGTTTGTATAAGACAGTGACAGCAACAATGTTATTCCTTAGCTAACATTTATCTGACTATTGAAAAATCAGCCGTAAATTTAATATGTAGTAGTATACTGACCACTTCGGCCTCGCCACCACCAGTCCAGTCGTACACCAGAAGCTCAGCGTGCGTGGAAATGTCACGGAGATACTTGTTCTTGTACTGTGTCTCAATCTCCGTGAGGAACTGAGTCGTCAGCGCGCGGCCATTCACTTCATGGTCCAACTTGCGGCTCTTAATGGCTTCTTGCACCTAGAAATAAAGCAGTTAAAAGGTTATACAGAAGGTAACATTTATATAAGGCCGTATTTTATACCTAACTGGCTAGTCTCGCGCGGTTTCACCGGCCGCTTGACTCTTACAGATCGAAGTGTGATGTTTTAAAGCCTGAAGCCTTCCTCAATAGTCTATTAAACTTAAAAATGATTTTTCTAATCGATTCAGTAGTTCCTGAGATTAGCGTGTTCAAACAAACAAATTATTCAACTTTATAATATTGGTATAGATATAGATTATTTCAAAATTTGTGGAAAGGGATAACGACAATTTTCTTTTAATGTCCTTCTAAATGGTGTAACAAGACACTTAACGAAGCCGAAAGTCACGTATTCTACCCATTATTTTCTTCAATACCATAGCTGGGACTCCGCGGGTTCTCGAGATATTGAAGGTCAAAGATGCATTTCTAATTTTTTTCTGCGCAATCGAATTCTAAGTATTATTACAAAACTTTTTTCCAAACAAACATTACCTGAATTTTCGATTTTTCTAAATAAATTACGCATTTAAAGTTACGAACAGTAATGTACGTAATAAATAAATGAGACCCGCACAAAAAACATCGTGCATCTCAGTAGAATTTTTATTTTACAGAATTGTTTTGTTGTTGCGAAGTAAAACGTCGATCTACGTACTTATCACAGCGTTTTCATGCTAAGCTGTAATCCTACGCACACAATGACACGAAGCCCGTTTGCTTTACATTGCGCGCAATAAAATTTTTTTTTTTTTTTGATACCTAAAAATAATTTTCTGAAAATAAATCCTAGCTAGATTGATTGGTTAACAACACAAACCCCTAAGCTTAGCTAATTGCTTGTTTCCAGATATAAGATTTATTTTATTAAAAAGTAAAAGAATTTTGATAACAATTACCATATTTTCAGGACAAAATTGAAATTATTTATTACACAGGTTGTTATAAAAGGTCAACCTATTTGCCATGAGATAAAAAGTTCAGACAATAAACTAAGATTCATCATCAATCATTTTATTTACCTTGGGTACAGGCAGATCCAAATAGATGACAAGATGTGGGCGCATCAGTTCTTCCAGACTCTCGGCCCTCAGCTCATAGTACACTTGACGCACTGCCCTGCTGATGTACTTCTGCTTGTACATAGCCTCCAGAAACACGAAATCAGAGTAAGGAGACCTTTCCAACACCACTCCTTGACCAGTGTTCAACAAATGGGCCAGAGCATCAATATACTGACTGTACCTTGCAATGTACATCATAATCTGATAGTTACCAGCCAGGCGATGGTTTGGACACAGGTTGAAGTTCACATGATCAAAGGTCCTCGTGTCCTCGGGAATCTGATCGTCGAACATGCGAAGGTCGCACCCATTCGGCCTGATGTAGTGGATGTCCATGTTTGCTTCAGGAAAGTGCTTCATACCGAGGTCCTCGGCAAGCATGGCAGCGAACTTGGTCTTGCCGACAGCCACAGGGCCTTCGACGACCACGACTTTCGAGTTTTCATCGAACCTATGAGTGGTGCGGTCGAAGAGGCTCCTTAGCCAAGTGTAGTCTTTATTTACATAGTCGAAGGGAGCTGGCTTCGGCGGAGGTGTAGGCAAGGAGCTCCGAAGAGACTTCCCAGCGATGTTACGGTTCTGCACGAACGTGCATGCCGCTATTTTACATCCCTGACCCTGGTTCGTAAGAACCTTAACAACACCGAGTTTCATCAACGTAGACATTTTGACTCGAGGTATCTCTTGTTGCACGATACCTACAATGAAACTTTAAATAAGTTCTTGTAATTTAAACGAAACAATAAATACATTTTCATTAGAAAGTCTTACCTCAAATCAATTCATAACAAAAATTAATCCTGTGACATAACCATTCAGAAAAGAAGCGTTCGAAAACTAAATTTCAAAGAAAAAATATTTTAGTTTGTTATGAACGCAACTGTAAATGTATACAGGTGAACGTTGAAATACTAATTTGGTACTTAGAATAGATTATTTTAATATTGATAATTTTATTTTCAATGATATGTATGTAAATATTTCAAGTATAAGTTGAGATAGAAATATACATGTATATAATAATAAATTGAAGCTATTTTAAGCTTTGACAGGGACCACAAATAATATTTTGACTGGCAATGGTTAAAAATGACGTTTGCTTGATTTGACATTTCAATTCATGTTTCTTTTTAGTCTGTGCTTCTTTCTAACCATGTGATAATATTTTATTTTGCAACAATAATCTCGTGAATAAGTGCAGATATCTAAATAAAGCGACATGACTGATCATACAGAATCAAAGATGGAATCAGAAAATATAAATGTGGAGGAATTCCTACCTGCCAAGAAGACGGTTAAGTTGAAAAACATAAAGCGAAGGGCAGTTTCTGAATCCGGGGATGGCATGGAAATTGAAGAATTTAATGGGATCCAAGGGAAAGCGAAGCACAGTCGGTCAAGGCCTAAGAAGAAGAAGAGGAACACTGAGCCAAATGAGTCTAAGGAGAATCTGAGGAAAATACCAGTTCCTGCTCACAGGTATAACCTAAAAATTTTAAGATTGTACTTGTAAATAAATAACACGCTTAGGTACTGTCCATCGTCGGTGGGGTCTTGGAACAGAGATAGAGTTTATAATGAACTAGGGTGTTTATTATAACAGAACTCTTTTTTTGTACATTTATGGAATGTTTTAATATTTTTTTGAAATTATAAACACCAGATATATAATAATATCACTGAATTATTACCGTTTAAGCTTGAAATCACTATGCTTTGTAACACTACTAGTCTAAACTTAATAATTATTTAAAATAAACAATTTAAATTTGAAATAAGGACTTAAAACAATATTTAAATTCACAGATACACCCCATTGAAAGAGAATTGGTTGAAAATCTTCACTCCTATCGTTGAACACTTACTCCTTCAAGTAAGGTTTAATATAAAAACTCGCAATGTGGAAATTAAGGTTGGGCCTGAGACAAAAGACATTGCAAACTTGCAGAAAGCCGCAGATTTTGTTAAGGTATGTAAACATGTTATAGACTATTCTTGTTAAAGAATACAACAGTTCGAGATTGAAGCATCAAAACTATTTATTAACACATTCAGTGCCCCCGACGCATATGTGCGTGCGAGGAAACACACATACGCGTCGGGGGCACTGGATGCGTTAAGTAATACCCTCACAAGTATAATAATCGCAATGACAATCAATGTAAATAATATTAAAATACCCTCCATACTATTGATATAATTTATTAGATGACAATCAATATTCAACACCTGTAGTATCTGTTTTTTTTTTGAAAATGTAGAGTCATCATATTATTTCTATCAAATCGTTCATTCTCTTAGTAAATTGAAGTCTTAGAAAAAAGCAACTACCTTTTTAGTAACTTGTGTAGTAGTCTTTCTTTTAGTTACTTGGAGTCTGGATATGAGTGTTGTTATTCAGTAGTTTTTATCTAATATCAAAATCTATATATTTATGGCTGGCTAATTTAACTTTGTTACAAGCTAAAGGCTGGCAATCATTAAGAAGTGTTTTTTTAATTAATTTATTGTATTTCAGGCTTTCATTTATGGATTCGAAGTTGATGATGCCCTTGCCCTGCTCAGATTGGATGATTTATTCGTAGAATCTTTTGAAGTTAAAGATGTTAAAACATTAAATGGTGACCATTTAAGTCGCGCCATCGGCCGCCTTGCGGGCAAAGCTGGCCGCACCAAATTCACCATTGAGAACGTTACTAAAACCAGAATAGTGTTGGCAGACTCAAAAATTCATATTCTTGGCAGTTATCAGAATATCGCGTTGGCGCGAAGAGCGATATGCAACCTCATTATGGGTTCACCTCCGTCTAAAGTCTATGGAAATCTGAGGAATGTCGCCAATAGAGTTGCAGAGAGATTTTAGTTTGTAAATAAAAGTTATTTGTACATAAAATGTGTTTTTTATTAAATACTTGTCTTAACTACGAAAGAAAGTGTTAAATGGAATGTAATATAATATAACTAAACATAATTTACATTCTTCTTTAAGTAGTAGTAATTTACAATTGAATTCTATTCTATTAGGGCTACCATGCTCTACGCATCGTTAATAAATTAGGTTGTTGTTGGAAGTACAGAATCGCGCCATCAGGGTGAAATTTTTCTTCTGCTCCGGCAGGGGCCACCACGTAGTGTCTATGTAATCTTTGGGGGCCACGGCCATTATTGCACTTGCAACCAGTGCAGAGTGCTTATTTTTTAGGTTAACGCGATCGATACGTTACCGCGTCAAGCGTTCTGATTGGTTAGTCAGTAGGCCTACAGTACGGCCGCCGTATCTTGGCGAGTCTGAAGTTAGCCGTTTGTCTGCGAAATGGTTCTTTTAGGAACAAAACTGCGCAGCTAATCGGCTAACTTCAGACTCGCCAAGATACGTTGACCATGAAGTGAAGTGTTAAAGCGTGAATCTTCCGTGCGAGAAAGAGAGATGGTAGGCCCTCAGGTACCTGCATTGGTTGGTTGTAACAGGCCAATCAAAGCGTCGAACGTCAAAAACGTGTCGATCGTTTTACCAATAAACTAAATTTGCACTAGGCACTGACTTTTCGTTATTTATTTATTGTATGACCTTATATTTAACACGAGTGAACGATCTAACTGCTTTGTTACAGTCTACAGTAATATTTTGTATTTAAAATGTCTGGGAACTCTGGAAAGTACGAGCCGAGCGTCGTAACTCAACGAGGCGAAGGTCCAGGGCTCCGCGGCGCTCCACTCTGCACAGTACACTGAGTCCTCATGTTGCTCATACGATTGTAGTACGCCATCTTCTAGACTGCAAATTAAAAAATATCATTACATAAGGGCTGACTTTTCAATGGTCAGACAAAAGTTACCTGGGAAATAATTATGATGCTGTCGCGTCAGAATGTTTGTATAAGACAGTGACAGCAATAATTTTATTCCTTAGATAACAATTATCTGACTATTGAAGTGTCGCGGTCGTGCTAAGTAATTATTACTTAGGATATTTTTCATTGACTACCAGCTGATATTTACTTACATATTAAAATTCATTGAATGCTAGTTTCCACCCGCCTAATGTGTTTCTAAAAAGTACCTAGCCTATGTCCAATTCCGTAGTGTATCCTATGCCTGTGCCAAATTTCATCCAGATCCGTCCAGCCGTTTTGGCGTGATTGAGTAACACACATATAAACATCGTAACTTTCGCATTTATAATATTAGAAAGATAATGACTTGCGTTAATTAACTGAGAAAAGCTCTACTAGTTTTAAGTCACCACGGGACTCTATTCATGAGCAGCGTGCTTGTCGCAGTCGTTATTTTCAATAAATATTAGTATTCAAGAAGAATTAACAGGCACGGCAAGGTACATATAATAGGTACCTACGTCAGATCATCTATACTAATATTATAAAGAGGTAAAATTTGTAAGTTTGTATGTAGGGGGCAATCTTTGGAACCACTGGTCGGATTTCCAAAATTCTTCACTAATAGATAGCTACAATATTTCTGAGTGCTATAGGCTATAAAACATCACCCTACGATTCAATGGAGCCAAGCCGCGGTTGAAATCGCGCGAGAGTAACTAGTATCTTATAATAGTACTAGTTACTGTCCCGCGGTTTCAACCGCTGCGTGGCTCTTACATATCGTAGCGTGATGTTTTAGTAGCCTTAGCGTAGCCTTCCTCGATAAATGGAATAACGAACACAAAAAGAATTGTTCAATTCGAACCAGTAGTTCCGGATATTAGCGCGTTCAAACAAACAAACTCTACAGCTCTATAATATTAAATATAATATAGTATAGATAAAAAAAAAAATAAGTTTCTTAGTGCCGCTAAAATTCGACAACTGGGTTTGTACGGATATGAGTAATTTTGATCTTGAAATATGTGGAAGTTCATGGATGGTTGAAAATATTAGAAAGCATTAGATGATTGCTGGGTCAGCTATTTACAAAACATTTATACTATATTTCCACAAGGACTAAAGTTTTGAGGCCGGAACTTATTCCCAAATTTATTCTTCTCATTTTGTTGGTAAAACTACAATTAATTCTAGTTAATAACTGACTAGAGCCTGATTTGTCGTCGACCAAAGTGATATAGCGGCCTCAAAGAATATCGGGGTGAAACTTAGCATTGTTTTCGCTGAGTCAGTTACGGGGGCCCATCACGAATCCCTAAGGCGGCTGCAACACACTTGTAACTCCTTTAGTGTAGCGGGTGTTTATTGCTTACCACCAGGTGCTGCGCTATAAAAAACTAAGTAAGTATAAATGTGTGGGAGAGATATAAGCTTCGGCACGAATGGGTCGGCTCGACCGGAGTTTGACCACGGCTTCACAGAGAACTGGCGAGAAACAACCATATCGTTGTGTTTCGCCGTGTGAGGTACCGGATGCCTAATCCCTACCCCTCGCCCCATCTCTTCCCAATCATTAAAGTCAAAACTCAAAAATCATTTATTCCAATTAGACCCTTACAGGCACTTTAGAACGAAATTTTGAAGATGTAGTGGCAGTCTGTCGGTCAGTCCTCTTAGTGAAGCTATTTGCTCCTTCCAAAGTGTAGATTCCGATGGAGAAGAACGAGCAAGAAACTCCATGGTTACTCTTTTTAAATCAGTTTCACATACAGATTCCTTTTACAAACAGTTGGTTCAATTATGTGAGAACAGTGTAACACTAATATTTATTCAAATCTATACTAATATTATAAAGCTGAAGAGTTTGTTTGTTTGTTTTTTTTCTCTTTCTAAATCAGTTTCACATACAATATAGTAAATATCCAAAACCATAAAAGGCCGGCAACGCACTCGTAACTCCTTTGGTGTTGCGTTCCTTTGTTGTACATGGGCGACGCTGATTGCTTACCATCAGGTATCCGTTTGCTCGTTTGCGGACCTTTAAAATAAAAAAAGTATACTGACACTTGGCTGAGTCGCTTGCCGTCGTCGTCGAGGTCGCAGCATACGCTGGCGGCGGCAGTGAGCAGGGCGCGCGCGTCCGAGCTGCCCGACAGTAACAACTGCTCGTGGAATGTGTTGTACCGGACTGTCCATACCCTGCCGAACAATATCTAATATTAATATTTTTAATATTAATATTAAATCGTTTATTTGCTTGAACAAAGTACATATAAAAAGGTCTTTACAAATAATAGAATCTCTTATTCCGCCTTTTATTGCGGCATGCAAATTTCTTAAAGCTATTAAATTTAACAAAATAATTCTACCTACCGAAAAACAATCACATTGAGAACTTACAACTTATAATCTAGGAATTCATTAACACTATAATAACATCTTTCTGTCAAATGGTTTATTAAGGAACGCTTAAATTTAGGAAACGGAAGAGTTTTGATGGGATTGGGGATCTTATTATATAACTTGATGCACATAATATAACAGTTATTAGATGTAAATGTTAGGTTTGTTCTGGGTCTATACAACTTGTTAGCGTTCATAGATCTAGGCGTGTAGTAGCTAATTACTGCTTGGAAAAGAGCTTTATGTTTGAAGACAAATGTACAAGACTCCAGCACGTATAGACAGGGCAATGTTAATATCTTATATTTCTTAAAGTACGGACGACGACACGAATCAGTTTGTTTAAGACCAAATATGGCCCTTAAGCATTTTTTTGCATTACAAATGCCCGGTCAATATCTACACAGCGGCCCCACATAGTGATACCATATCGAAGTATCGATGATATATAACCATGGTATGCTGTTATTGCTGCGCTATTAGATACTTCACAGCTTATTCGTCTTAGAGGGTACACAATATATATATATAAATTTCGTGTCACGTGTTTGTCCGCGATGGACTCCTACAAAACCGATTTTAAATTTGATTTGCATTCCGTGTGCTGTTTGACCCAACTTGGAAGATAGGATAGCTTACATCTCAATTTATAATCGAAATATTATTTTATTGCAAATTATTTGTCATTATGTAATGTGACAAGAACCTTAGCCACAGCAACGCGTGGCTGGGTCAGCTAGTTTTATATTAAAATACCTAGTTAGCTACTGTCGCGCGGTTTCCCCCGCTGCTCGGCACCTAAATATCGTAGCGTGATGTTTTATAGCCTATAGCCTTCCTCGATAAATGAACTAACAAACACAAAAAGAATTGTTCTATTCGCACCAGTAGTTTCTGAGATACAAGTTCACATACACATCACACCCCGACCCGGAAAAAACATTTTTGGACCATTCAAACATTTGTTCCGTGCTGAAATCGAAATCACGACACGTGGCGCGAGAGCCAGTTGCCTAGCCGCCTAACTCAATGACTCGTGCAGTCAAATTTTTAAATTAAAATTATAATCTAACTAACAATTTCCTTGGGCAAAAATAAATCATTTTCCCTTTTAAATACAAACAAACCTTTTGTACCGCACCCACGACACAGGAGAAAATAGTAGTGTCGGGAAACGTTTAAAAAGAAAATGGCGCTTCGTATTTTTCAAAAGGTCGGCAATGCACTCGTTACTCTGGCATTGCGGATATCTGTCCATAGGCAATTTACTCTGGTGTAATGATGTAAACTCACCAATGTGAATGATCGGTTCTTTTAAAGATGGGTTCCTTTCCGTTCCTGTAGTCCCATATGTTGAGAGCTGCGTCGTCACCCGCGCTTGCTAAGTGAAACTGTCTGAAATAAAATAATAATAATTATTATTATTATATAAGCCATCATAGTCCTTTGATAGTACGACTGCACGGTTGGTGCGGTGGCTGGGCAGCTGGCTGCCGTGCAACGTGTCGAGGGTTCGATTTCCGCACGGAACAACTCTTTGTGTGACCCACAAATTGTTGTTCCGGGTCTGGGTGTCAAGTGTAGGTGAAATTGTATGTTTGTTACCGCACCCACGACACAGGACAAAATCGTAACGTTGAAGAAAGAAAGTTCCGATCACCTGACCATAGCAACCCAGACCCATAGCCTACTGTCCTATTGCAGATAATGGAAACAAGGGATAAGGCTTACACTAAACTTGTGTGTATTTCCATAGTGCATACAGGGATAGTCACCGGTTTGTGTCCCATTTCATTTACATTAAAGTTATAGCGGGTAACGTTTCCGAACGTCTCCCCAGCTCTGGTCCTAAGCGGTCCAATAGGGGCAAGCCGCCCGACCGCTATTCGCCAACGCCATAGAATTTTAAAATACGCGCCATGTGGCGTTATGTTGCTGGCCGCTGATTGGCCGTCACAGTTTTAGTTAAGTTATGGCGGACTTTACAGTTTTGTGCGTGTGATTCTTTTAATTTTTGTACAGTATTATTAAAGTTTATGCCGCGTATCATGACTTTGCACTGTAACCGACCCACCCCGACTACAAAGTATACTTAATATAGTTAAGTAGGTATAATGTATTAGTTGTCTAAAGGATCTGCATCACCCTAAGGTTGACTGGTGAGAATGCCTACGGCATTAAGTCCGCCTATGTAATGTTTTGTTCCATAAAGTTTAAATAAATAAATAAAGGGCTTCTGCGCAGTTGGCTTCGGCCCCTCATAAATACGCCTCTCAATCGACGCCTGTTTAAAAATGAACAAAAAATATATTTGTTATTTAAGCCTCATAGTCACCCCATTGATGTTTAGGGACACAACCTAGTCTGTGCCTCCAGGGATGATATAAGAATTCTAATGATATGCTATTATGATTATGTCTTATTCTGCCTAGGCGTTTGGAAGTAACAGGGGAATAAATAAACTCACATACATACACACATGAACCCTACAAACATAACACTCCTTTTTGGGCAGTCGTGTAAAAACCAGAACTAACTCACAACAGAGGGTTTTTAAAAGAACGTTGCCCCACTCTACGATTTTCTCCTGTGCCGTGGGTACGTTTACAAACATACAATGTCACATGCACATCACACCCAGACCCGGAACAACAATCTGTGGATCACACAGTTGTTCCGTGCGGGAATCGAACCCGCGACACGTTGCGCGGCAGCCAGTTGCCCAGCAACCGCGCCAACCGTGCAGTCAACAGTGCAGATTGAAACAGCATGTTGGTTCGGCTCCACTGGACAATTCTCAAATATGTAGTCAGTAGTTATTAAAATTCTCAAAATTAATGAAACCTTGAATGAGTTTATATAGAAGCATTCTTTTGGATTGTGAGTACGCATATGTGAGCGCCATGTACGAGACAACAAAGGATTAAAATTTTAATGATAGATTAGATAGACCATCATTTGTTCCTTTTTATTAACAACTTGTCTCTGCATTGTTCTCACATAGGGGTACAGTAATGTATAAAAAATGTATTATTGATGAATTGTAAAACAATCATTTTTTTAAAAAGAGTAACGATGGAGTTTCTTGCTCGTTCTTCTCCATTCGAGTCTACAATTTGGAACGAGCACCTAGCTTCACTGACGAACAGATTGACAGACTACTATTCTATTTTGACGTTTCAAAAGTAGCTATTTATGGTTTAGTTGGAATAAATGATTTTGATTTGATTTGATTTGAAACATAATATGTTGAAAAGCCTTCATCTGTGAGTTAGGCCTCTTTTCTATTAAGCATACGATATAGATATTATTTACCTGTTTGGGTTGAAGTCTAGGTCCCTGGCAAGTTGTGTGTGTGCGTTGTCGATGCTCCACGAAGGCTTGGTGCAGTCAGAGCGAGTGTCGTAACACCTTACATGAGTGTCTTGTAGCACTGCGAACTGGACACAATCTTTTTATATAAAAACTACCTAACTAACTAACTACTAACTTTGGAATGATCTTCCGGCGGCGGTATTCCCGAACCGATACGACCTTCAAAACATCAAGAAACGAGCGTATTCCTTCTTAAAAGGCCGGCAACGCACCTGTAACTCCTCTGGTGTTGCGGATGTCAGTGGGCGGCGCCGAAAAAAAAAAAACTACCTGTTCTCGCGCGGTTTCACCCGCTGTTCGGCTCCATTTAGCGGCGGCATCGTAGCGTGATGTTTTATAGCCTATAGTACTCAGGAACATTGTAGCTATCTCTCAGTGAAAAAAAATTCGAAATCCGACCAGCGGTTACAAAGATTACCCCCTACATACAAACTTACATACCTATTAATAATATGAGTATACATAGATTTCGTGACACGTGTTTGTCCGCGATGGACTCCTAAAGTACTAAACCGATTTTAAAATTGATTTGCAATCCGTGTGCATTTTGATCCAACTTGAAAAATAGGATAGCTTACATCTCAATTTATAGTCACAATACTATTTACCTTAGCAACGCGTGGCTGGGTCTGCTAGTAGTACATTATGTTTTTTTTTTGTGAGGGTAAAATCATCAAATGACTTCTCCCGCCCAGGGCGGGAGGGAGTGTCAAGACTCTTACTGAGTAAAAACCCCCTGTTCCTTCTCCTGCTCTGGGCCGAGGTCGCGGTGCCTCAATGCGCTTACCCCGCAACCCCGGATGAGCATCAGGCCTTTAGGGCCCCGTCTGTGGTGGTCTATTGGCTCTTTGAGGCGCGCGCGGAACGCTACGCGCCGTACGCTCGGGAGTACATTATGATACAAGCAATGATATTATAAGTAAAAAAGTGTAGAATAGGTCAAAAGCGCTCAGCAAGCAGACATTAAAATGTGGCTAGCTAGCGAGACTTTTTCATATTTGTCTCTTTTTCACACGCGATTTTTTTAATCATGCCATCTCACTTTAACGTGTATCATACGAATTATTCATGTGTGCATACATGTGCCGTTTTTGAAAATCGAATGTTGTTTATGTTAACTATCTACACCATTTTACTTATACTGCCCCCGTTAGTAAAAAAGACGCATCTAACATTTTTTCCAGATTTGAGTTAAATACATTGCCGGGATCAGAAAAAAAAGGCGCATCTGCCTGTATTTTTAATATTTTGCTAACTTTCTCCAGTGTGGTTTTAACACAACGAAATAAGACGCTTCTGTAATTTTATTTAAATCTGATTGAAGATGAAAAGACGAATTTATCGGAAACTTAGTTGAAAAGTCGCATTTAAGTAGATAATGTCCATATAGTCTAAAGTTTTTTTCTTAGTTCGGTAATGTAAAAGGCACATATTTGTCCCTATTTCTAAGAGGAAGTTAATAAGACGCAAATACGCGTTTACGTCTAACACGCTATGTAAAAACTGAGTTCATAATAAGAAAAAAAGACCACATCTAACAACTTGCGCCCTATTTATTTCGTAAAATTGATTTCGCATAGACGTATTTGCCATAAGCGTCTTAATAACTTACGTTGAAAATAAATTAAATAACAGTTACTTAATAAAAAAGACGCAAACGTGCATATACGTCCTTTTTTCTTAAAATTGTGTATAAAGCGGAGCTTGCGTAGGGTGTTGGGGGGGTATGTTTTGTACGGCGCCTGACTAGTTTCTTTGCCAGTTGCGCCCGAGTAAGCTGTTGAAGAGACGGGTCGCGGTTGCGCAAATTTTCGCTGCGTAATTCGTCGTATAAGGTAAGTAGGTATATTTATTATTTTCTGTTTTGGTATAAAAAATAATATCAGTCTTACTAACTGTAAACACCATTATTATGTACTTAGTGAAGTAAAAATATAATAAATTAAAATACTACTAATAAACATAATGTTACTTCATTCATTGACATTTTGCTTGTTAATACTCAACGAGCTTTATAACTTTTTTTGGTACATTCTAACACTATTATCTGTTGTTACAGAAAACAACTAACATGAAAAGAGGTCGATGCTTTGAGTTAGTTAATAAAGCTTTAGCTTCCACTAGTACGGAAAGTACAAATAGTACTGGAGTAGAAACTACAGAGCGTATGACAGTCTTTGCGATCGTAGTTCAATTTTAATCTGTTTAGTTGATATAGGTGATTGCAATATGTTTAGTTGATAGTGTATGGCACTGATTCATTAATGTACTCAGAAATCGACTTGCGCAGGACGACATGCATTCTCCATCCTTGGGACTTTCATTGAAAAGCCTGCATAATGTCACAGCTAGAGTTTTGACATAATCAGTCGCCGCCGATCACTTCCCTGAGGATACGGCGGTGCTCAGCCCAGGCAGGGCATACCATTACCATTACCACGCTCCACCGTATCCCCTAGGTGGCCCTCACAATGACGACACTCGGGCGTTTCCTCCCGCTGGATCCGAAACAGGAACCTACCGAAGCTGCTGTGCTCGGTAAGCACCTGCGACAGGCGGAAGGGGAGGACGCCGTGGCGTCTCTCAAGCCACTCCTCAAAGAGGGGTCTTACCACTGCTATAGTAGCGTGCCCGACAATCAATAAGATGGAATGAGAATTTGAGCCAATAGGTTAGCGTGTACACTTCGGCTGGCTTCAGGCTGTCAGCAAGATGCCCGCTGCCATTCCTCGTAGTGACACTTACTACCCTATTCGGGGTTACCCGCTCATAATAATGTTACCAATAAATTAAAAATTGAGTTATGATTAACAATCAATTGTAAAGACAATACAATTATCTTTGTTATTAAAAATAATCCATAATCAGTCGCCAACGCCGTCATATATAATTTTTAAGTTTTCGAGCCAGTTAAAATATAAATGAAGAGTGATGTTTTTGTTTCTTTTGATAGTGTTCTTTTTTACTTTAATTATAATAATGTTGTTAGCAAAAAACTTTTTATAGTAGTGTGATAAATAAAGATATAAGAGATTTATAATGGATCTGTACCTGTTTAAGACTGATAAAGCTTAACACCGTGACATTGCTCAAGTGTAATACTTTTTTTTTTTTTTTTTTGTGAGGGGAAATCATCAAATGACTTCTCCCGCCCAGGGCCGGGCAGGAGGGAGTGTCAGACTCTTACTGACTAAAAACCCCCCTGTTCCTTCTCCTGCTCTGTGCCGAGGTCGCGGTACCTTATTGCGCTTACCCCGCAACCCCGGCTGAACATCAGCCCTTTAGGGCCCCGTCTGTGGTGGTCTATTGGCTCTTTGAGGCGCGCGCGGAACGCTACGCGCCGTACGCTCGGGCCTGGTTCTGGTCGGGCGGCGAGCTGCCCTTACTCGCCGACCGCAGGCCCGTACTTACGGTGGCCGGAGATCGTCCCTCGATCCCCGACGCCCGTAGTGTCGCCAGTTGCGGCTGCTGGGGCGTGAGGAGGAGGATTGCTCCCTCACGCGGCCGCCTCTCTCTTTGCGAGCATGACTGCTTCACAAAAGGAGGAGACGGCGTCCCAGTTCCTCTCACTCCGCACCATGGCCTCGACTAAGGCCGGGCGCGAGAGGTCGCCGCCGCCGATCACTTCCCTGAGGATACGGCGGTGCTCAGCCCAGGCAGGGCATACCGCTACCGTATGCTCCACCGTATCCTCTAGGTGGTCCTCACAATGACGACACTCGGGCGTTTCCTCCCGCTGAATCCGAAACAGGAACCTACCGAAGCTGCCGTGCCCGGTAAGCACCTGCGTCAGACGGAAGGTGAGGACGCCGTGGCGTCTCTCAAGCCACTCCTCAAAGAGGGGTCTTACCGCTGCTATGGTAGCGTGCCCGGCCCTCGGTTGCGACAGTCGCTGTCTCCACTCTGCCATGAGATCTCGCCGGAGCTCATTCCGCCACGCACTTATTTGGCGCGGCAAAGGATCTTCGCCCCGGCTACGCGCGTCTGCGCGCAAACTGTAGACGCGCGCGAGCGCCTTCGCTTCTAGATCCCACGGCGGTGATCCGGCAAGGAGGTTCGCCGCCTCCCCGGAGATCGTGCGATACCCGCGGATTACTCGTATAGCCATGACCCTCTGGGACGCGACCAGCGTACGAGCCGGCCGCCGCTTCAAGTCCGGCGCCCACACAGGGGCACCGTAGAGGGCCATGGATCGCACAATTCCCATATACAACCTCCGGCAGGAGGCGTTTGGCCCCCCGAGGTTGGGAAGGAGCCGCTTGAGCGCGGCCCCAGACTGTTCCAACTTAGGGGCCAAACGACGAAAATGCTCCGTGAAGTTCCATCGGCTGTCGAGGACGAGACCCAGGTACTTCATCGCCGACTCGACGCCGATGGTAACTCCTCCTGCCGTTACTTGGGACCCACCTGGAGGTGGCGCGCTCCGACGGCCATAGAAGCACATGGCCTCGGACTTGTGGAGCGCCACCTCGAGTCCCAACTGCCGGATCCTTGCAACGACTGTCGCAACCGCTTGTGACATCAGGTCGGCCGCCGCCTGATGCGACCTCCCGTTCGCCAGCACCAGCGTGTCGTCAGCATAGCAGACAATGCTGACGCCGCTCGGGAGGTCGGTGCGTAGCACCCAATCGTACCCGATGTTCCACAGGAGAGGTCCCAGGACCGATCCCTGTGGGACACCGCGCGACACCTCTCGCCGATTCCACACGCCCCGGTGACCGGGGTAGATGACACATCTGTCCGTCAAGTAAGCCTCGACTACACGACGGAGATAGGCAGGCACCCGGTGGTACCGGAGTGCCTCCAAAATGCAGCTCCAGGGCAGCGAGTTAAAGGCGTTGGCGATGTCCAGAGACACCGCCACGACGACTCGCCTCCCGGCCAACGCTGTCCCCGTCGTGAGGTCCCTCACGCGCATGATGGCGTCCACCGTGGAGCGCCCTCTGCGGAAGCCGAACTGGCCGTCCGCTAAATCCGGCCCCCTTCCAGACAGGTGCCCGACGAGGCGGTCTGAGATTATCCTCTCGAACAGCTTTCCCACCTCGTCGAGCAGCACAATGGGCCGGTACGCGGACGGAGAGTCCGCAGGACGTAATACTTGTAGTTCTAATTTAAATTATAATTGAATATGCCAAGGTTAGCATTTTGTGTTTTGTTATTAGTCAAAAGCATTTTAAATAAATATTTCATTGTACCTATCAATTGTGTTTTATTTAATAATAATGCATTAATAAACTCGTAGTCATCATAATAAACTATTATTATGATAACTACGAGTTTATTAACATTTAAACCATAAATAAAAGAATTATTAAATTATTATTTAAATATTTTATCTTAGTCAAGGGATATCTATGAAGTTATTTATTCTTAAGAAAAAAGGCGGAAATGACCATATACGCCCATTTTTGTTAAAAATATACTAGATAAATACACTAAATATTTAGAAGAAAAGTACAGGCAAAGGCGTTTGAAAATTAAAGGGCGCATCTAGCCATTTACGTCTATTCAATAAAGTATGTGATATTTTTCCTAATTTTTTATGCTAAGATGAAAAGGTTTTTCTTATATTTTTATTATAATAATTTAATAAATTTATATTATTATTAAACCATGTTAAAGGTCTTTTTAATGGGCTTTATTTTCAACTTTTAATATCTAAATATTTAAATTCACGCGAACACAGCAAACAATTTCTTGTTTCATTCATTAAAACATTTTTTTCTCCGTTTTTACTATTTGTTAGATACGTCTTTTCAACTATCAGGGGCAGTATAATATCATTGTGTACAAGTGTGTAAAGTGTGCTGAGCCGTCAGGCGAGGGTCTTAAGGAGCCGAAGACTGTAATCATCAATATACACATGTATCATACGACGTTTTTCAACACACTTCTAAATAAAATAATACTTAAATAAAAAACTTCAAAAGAGAAAACGAGACGAGTTGTGAAAAATGTTTCGTAATAGCGGGAAAATTTTATCAGTATCAGACGCGCGCGCATCGGCCATAGACTAAAAAAATTTGATTTGAGGATTGAGGAAGCGGGGTGGGGGGTATTGGGCCTGTGGTATCAGCTCGGTAGAGCCGGCCCATTCGTGTCAACGACGATACCACGACGTCACTACGTAGCTTACCATCATTTCAATCCATCTGCTAGTTTTCCGTCCAAAAAAAAAGTATGGCTAAAACCGCTGCAACTCCTGTAAGCCAGGATCTACAATAGATAAAACCATGAAAATACCGGAACACTGAAATCCGGCGCGTCCCAGGGACATTAATGACTGTCTTGGATCTCGCCACGAAATAAAAATCAAAAGAAAATATTGGAAGAGACTAAAAAAAACGATAATTCCTAAGCGACTATAGAGGATGATTAAGTTACCTGAGTATGTCCTTGATGTGGGTTCCATTTCCCGCCAGTGAACTTTAGCCGGGCTGACGCAGCGGCCCGGCTAAGCGCCGCCCCGCTTGTGACGTCATGCACTCTGACTCCGCCCTCACAAACCACGCCCACTCTAGTCGCGTCCGTAGGGTGCCATTCTGCGCAACGTATCTCTTCTTCGGGTTTCTAAAACATATTAATATGCCTATATAACTTTTTTTGTGTGGTTACGAAGTATATAATAAATTTAAAAAAGCAATAATTACTTGTTTTTTATTTTAATTCCATTTCAACCTCTGTTTGATTCAACGTTATCACAATTTTCCTAGAAAATTTATTTATGCTTATTTCGAATCAAAAGCATTCGTAGTAAGTACTACGAATTAACAATAGTTGCTTCTAGTCGGCCGATCGTGTAATACAGGTTCTCGGAAACAGCTCCACAGATTCGAATGAAATTTGGGAGGAAGATGGTTCTAAATATAGAGTCCAGATTTCTCGGCAATTTCTTTATTTCTTACCTCTGGTTTGATGGTTAAAAGCAGTTCCATATCTTCAGCATTCCGGCTTTGTATGGCGCTTAGATCGTCCAAGTCTTTCGGAATTACCTGCAAATCAAATTATGAGTATAAATACAGTACAACCTTTGTATATTTCAAGTGGTGCATGCTTTAGCACAAATGGGTCAGCTAAATATCAATAAAATTTGATTTTTTTTTGTAATATTGAAATAACACATTTTACTACAAACAAATAAATATGAAAATACACAAAACAAAACTTAAAAACAGAAATTGTCTGTCTGTCTGTTTGTTTGTTCTGGTTAATCTTTGGAATGGGTGGACCGATTTTGGTTGTAGATGTAACAATGAGTAATTAAGGCTACTTTAGCTTTAAAAAGAAAAAAAAATATAGAATATGAAAGAAGTGTTGCCACGCAATAGCGATAATCAAATTTTACGCGGAACAAGTAGTTGGTACGACGTAATAAATAAATAAATAGAAATACCTCAACAGTTGGTAGTTTGAATATGGAGACTCCCATGGTGCATTGTGAAGTGGCCGGGTCATAGGAATTGTGTGTAGTGAGAAGAGTGGCAGCGTCGTGGGGGGAGCAACGGAGATGCCATACTTCACCAATGTCATGCTTGAACACCTGCAAACAACACAAGTTATAGTCACGATCAATAGATGGCGTTATTGTAGCATTAGGTCCAATTCTTTTGAAGCACAATAAAGTACGGTGCCTCGGCCTAGAGCAGGAGAAGGAATGGGGGTTTTTTAGTCAGAGAGTCATACACTCCCTCTCCCCCTACCCTAGATGAGAGAAGTAATTTGATGATTATACTTCCTCAAAACAACATTAAAGTTACAGTAACGATCAATAGATGGCGTTATTGTCGCATTAGGTCCTATTCGTCTATAGCTGGGGTTACGGGTCAAGCGCAATAAGGTACGCGGCCTCGGCCTAAAGCAGGAGAAGGAACAGGGGTTTTTAGTCAGTAAGAGTCTTTACACTCCCTCTCCCCATACCCTAGGTGGGAGAAGGAATTTGATGATTTTACCTCCTCAAAAAAGGTCCTGTTCTTCTATTGCACAAGCCTAGCATCAAACCATTGGTTAATTGCCAGTTTGTGATTGGAAAAACTAGGGCTTTTTTAGACGTTAAGACTGTAAAGTAAGTTTTATCACATCTTTAAAGAAAAAAAGCCAAAAGTCTTATTAGGGAGTCTTATTAAATCTATACTTCTATACTTACTAATATTATAAATAGGTAAAGTAAGTTTGTATGTAGGGGGTAATCTTTGGAACTGCTTGTCAGATTTTCCATAATTCTTTCACTGATAGACAGCTACAATGTTCCAGTGTGCTATATACTATAAAACATCACCCTAAGGCCAATAGAAGCAGGATCAATGGGTGGAATATAAATAGATTTTCTCTATTACCTGTTTAATTACCAAACTTAATTCCTGTATTTCCTGTACCAATACTAAACATTTTCTTTTAAAATACTTTAGTAAGTATATTTGTTTCATTAGTGTTACTCTTACTACATCTTTGCACGGCTCTACTTCATCTGATTTCCTAGTAATCCTTAAAGTTGACTAGCAAGAGAACCATATAGCATTAAGTCCGCCTTACATACCAACTTGGTTTCATATTGTGTACCTGCATAGCTGCCTAAATGATAACAAAAAAACATCTTATGCCACTGATAGGTACAAATAAAAATGGAAAGACATGTCACCTTAGTATGCAAGGCACCAGTATCCTCTTCCAACTCCACAACATGTATCTGATTAGAATTGGGCTTCAGGCTTTGAGTTCCTATTAGGAATCTGATTGCATCACTCTCTCCGTACTGAGGGGACAGAGCTCTAGTCTGAAATAGAAACAAAAAAACATCACAATTATCTGTCAGAGTGCTGTGTACTGATGTCAGAGTGGAGTACAATACCGCCAACGTATCTTGGCGAGTCTGAAGTTAGCTGATTAGCTGTGCACTAAACAATTTTGTTCCTAAAAGATCCATTGTGCAGACAAACGGCTAACTTCAGACTCGCAAAGATATGGCGGCCATACTGTACTTGTTACTCAACTGAGACCCTCTTATTACAAAACAAGATTTATCTAAGGTCCAGGTTAAAACCATTGAGTTAGGTTTTGAATTTTGAATGTTATTCTAACAATAATATTCCATGAAGGTCTATCACCTGCTGCCAGGCATTACCTCACTTCAACTCTCTTCGCCAGAGGATCCTATTCTGATCTTAGAGACCTTTACTCTCTGTTCCTTACATTTGCAATGGAAAGTATGTTTAATCTATGATAGCTTTGCTCACTCTATGTTGTGTAGGATAACTAGGATAGCCTGTTTAAGACGATGGAAAATCATCAAATGATTCTTCTCACCTAAGGTCCAGCAAGAGGGAGTGACAGACTGTTTTGGGAAATACCAAAATCAAAATCATTTATTTCAACTAAACCATAAATAGGTACTTTTGAAACGAAACTACCATTCATTATCGTGCTAATGGCAATGGAATAACAAATTATTTTAAGGTATACTTTACATTGAATATGCATATAAAAATATATCATGAAATATAGCGATAATTATTGGCATTTCCCGTCAGTGTGGGGCAGCAGTATTGATTAAAAATCACCCCATTCTAGTTCTGAGCCGTGACCTCGGTATCAGCTGTTGGCATTGTACAAGCGGCCTTAATTGTAGGGTAGGCTGGCATTTAGCACAGTGAAAATTCTTTTGGATACTTTAATGGTTAAGTACAATTATTTACTTATATTCTATGTAAATGTAGAGCAGTTTCTATGTTTACTTTCAATACGTTTACGTGTATTAAATATATCATGAAATATAGCGATAATTATTGGCATTTCCCGTCAGTGTGGGGCAGCAGTATTGATTAAAAATCACCCCATTCTAGTTCTGAGCCGTGACCTCGGTATCAGCTGTTGGCATTGTACAAGCGGCCTTAATTGTAGGGTAGGCTGGCATTTAGCACAGTGAAAATTCTTTTGGATTCTTTAATGGTTAAGTACAACTATTTACTTATATTCTATGTAAATGTAGAGCAGTTTCTATGTTTACTTTCAATACGTATTTGTCAAGGAAAATTAGAGTATATTGTTAATTTGCATACCTGGTGTTCTAAACCATATATTATTGAATTTCCTTCCTCCATTGCAAGTAGCTTAAAATTATTACAATACCTAAAAATGTAATGTTTGTTTACATCAGCATAATATGAAAATATCAGTAATCTCCAACTCCTAACTTAGCTACCAGCCTGTAAAAAATTTCAAGAAAAAAGAATATGCCACATATTGTTTTCTCTTTTACTTTCTATACTTTGAGTTGCTGTGAAAAAGGGATAAAGTATATTTACATGCTCAAAATAACGACAATGTTTCCCAACGTCAAATTTGTAGGATTGACGTTCGACGGTATCCATCGTGTATAGACTGTAGAAAAGTAAGGACGTCAAATACCTACAAAGAAAAAACGATCATACCTAAATTACAAGATTTATTATAATTGATATTCAAATTCATGAATTCAAAGATCTTAATGAAAATAGCAGGCACATGTTTTAGTATGTCCTCCATCGTCACGTCGTAGTATCGACCTCGTGGTTCGTTAGTATCTCTATTTAGTCTGTGAGTTTCATTCTGTCTGTTGTAAGCATTGACATAAGAAATATATGGACTTGAAATACCTACGAAAAAAAGGTGCCTACCTACAATCCAAAATGTCGCATAAGATGGCTGCCGTTGCTAGGGTTGTGCCGACTAAGTATTTAACGAGTATCGATACAATTTGAGTAAAAGTTCTACGTAGGTATAGTTTTAGGGATTAGCCAGCTGATTAACGGTATTTTTTATGGGAAATCATCTAATGTCATCTCCGGCCTTTTTCGGGACAGACCGTTACTGACTAAAATTAACTCCTGTTCCTACTTTGCCGTCGGCCTAGCTAGAGCCCGGAACCTGGGGTTAACTTGGTCTCTTGATTGGCTAATGATTTTCTCAAGTCGAATTTGTATTCATATAATTCTACGTAAAGCGTCTTTTAAAAAAATAGGACTGTGTTTATGAACAGCGTTTAATGGAATGGTGAAATAGAAAAAGATAGTGTTTGTTAAATGTTTATCTTTATATATGTGGAAAACCTGTGGGTATTTGTGAAGTGCTCGCGCACATTTTCGGCGCGTCTGATTAAGCGATGATATCTTCGAAACTACGTTAGCACAAAATAGATATGTAGTGAAGTCAATCTTATTGTATGTATCTCACTTTTTATTATTACGCTTGGTGGTCGCACTGGGATCGTCGCGAACGCCGCTCTGTCAATCGCGCCCGTATAATTATAATACATGATAATTTGAACTTCTACTTATGTAACTAAAACCAATACCAAAATACTGACGTCTTACTTTAGCGTTACATAAAACTGTGGAAACATCTATTCTATTGTTAAAATAGATTATTTAGTATAATATATGTTGAATTTTAAATGGGAGATTATATCGATACTTTTGTGAAATGGTACGTAACTATGCCATATTGACATATTATTGTAAACAACAATTTTTTACTAAAACTGTCTCACAGACAGAAATAAAAGTAAATATATATACTTTGGCAATAAATTAAAGTATCCGTGACATTTTTTTCTATCTATGTGGATTATTCTAAGTAATATTTGATGAAAACTGTTTACTAACCTATACAAAGACAATTGAGATTAATTTTCGTTCTTTTTTGCACCACACTGCACAATACAACACACAGGCATATTGTTTTTTTGTTTCACTATATATATTTGAAGTTTAAAAAAATGGTTCTTTGTAATTTACTGAAAAACTGCAATAATTTAAAACATAAACAACCGTTTGACAGCACAACTACCATGAAACTCAGGTACTCTGAGCGCTTAAGATGGCGGACATGGCACTTACCTACAACTTTGCTAATGTCAAAATGATTTGTTTCCATATTAAGCAACAACTTAAATATTGTTGTCCCTTTTGTCTAATACAATTATTGCCTTAGAAAGAGTGAGACAAAATGATATTTCATAGTTTGTTTCATATTTCCCACATATTTGTATAAGCATGTATACTTCTATAGTAACACGGCGCCTCTATATATTTTCTAACTCAATGACTTTAACTGAAAGTGTAGATTCATAGACTGTAGAAAAGTAAGGACGTCAAATACCTACAAAGAAAAAACGATCATACATAAATTACAAAATTTATTAAAATTGATATTCAAATTCATGAATTCAAAGATCAAGAAAATAGCAGGCACATGTTTTAGTATGTCCTCCATCGTCACGTCGTAGCATTGAGATAGAAAATATATAGAGGCGCCGTGTTACTATAGAAGTATACATGCTTATACAAATATGAGGGAAATATGAAACAAACTATGAAATATCATTTTTTCTCACTCTTTCTAAGGCAATAATTGTATTAGACAAAAGGGATAACAATATTTAAGTTGTTGCTTAATATGGAAACAAATCATTTTGACATTAGCAAAGTTGTAGGTAAGTGCCATGTCCGCCATCTTAAGCGCTCAGAGTACCTGAGTTTCATGGTAGTTGTCCTGTCAAACGGTTGTTTATGTTTTAAATTATTGCGGTTTTTCAGTAAATTACAAAGAACCATTTTTTTAAACTTCAAATATATATAGTGAAACAAAAAAACAATATGCCTGTGTGTTGTATTGTGCAGTGTGGTGCAAAAAAGAACGAAAATCAACCTCAATTGTCTTTGTATAGGTTAGTAAACAGTTTTCATCAAATATTACTTAGAATAATCCACATAGATAGAAAAAAATGTCACGGATACTTTAATCTATTGCCAAAGTATATATATTTACTTTTATTTCTGTCTGTGAGACAGTTTTAGTAAAAAATTGTTGTTTACAATAATATGTCAATATGGCATAGTTACGTACCATTTCACAAAAGTATCGATATAATCTCCGGTTAAAAATTCAACATATACTAAATAATCTATTTTAACAATGGATGTTTCCGCAGTTTTGTGTAACGCTAAAGTAAGACGTCAGTATTTTGGTATTGGTTTTAGTTACATAAGTAGAAGTTCAAATTATCATGTATTATAATTATACGGGCGCGATTGACAGAGCGGCGTTCGCGACGATCCCAGTGCGACCACCAAGCGTAATAATAAAAAGTGAGATACATACACAGTCCTATTTTTTTAAAAGACGCTTTACGTAGAATTATATGAATACAAATTCGACTTGAGAAAATCATTAGCCAATCAAGAGACCAAGTTAACCCCGGGTTCCGGGCTCTAGCTAGGCCGACGGCAAAGTAGGAACAGGATTTGATTTTAGTCAGTAACGGTCTGTCCCGAAAAAGGCCGGAGATGACATTAGATGATTTCCCATAAAAAAATACCGTTAATCAGCTGGCTAATCCCTAAAACTATACCTACGTAGAACTTTTACTCAAATTGTATCGATACTCGTTAAATACTTTGTCGGCACAACCCTAGCAACGGCAGCCATCTTATGCGACATTTTGGATTGTAGGTAGGCACCTTTTTCTCGTAGGTATTTCAAGTCCATATATTTCCTATGTCAATGCGTCGTAGTATCGACCTCGTGGTTCGTTAGTATCTCTATTTAGTCTGTGAGTTTCATTCTGTCTGTTGTACGTCAAGTCAAGTCAACAAAAGCAGAAGGTTTTTATTAATTGTGATTTTTAAGAACAAAACCTCTCCCAAGCATTACCTTTTGTGCTGTGAGTGATAGAGTGCTATAAACAAAACATGTCTAAATGTTCGCTAATTCAGTGTGGGGCAACGAGAAACCGCAAACAACCTTATTTAACTTTACACAGGTTAGTAGCTGTATTTTAACAAAAAAATTATCATGCCTTCAGTTGTTTCGTTTATGAATCCTTGTTTTACTTACTTATTGATGCCCTTATCTGTACACCCTAATTATTGTTTGTAATATTAAACGCTATTTACTAAATCGATATCATGGTTTGTTTACATCAGAAGCTAGCTACTCCTGCGCGGTTTCACTCGCTGCTCAGCTCCATTTGATTGTAGCGTGATGTTTTGTGTGTGTGTTCACTCGGGAACATTGTAGCTATCAATTAGTGAAAGAAAATTTTGAAAATCCGACCAGTGGTTCCAAAGATTACTCCCTACATACAAACTTACAGATTTTACCTCTTTATAATATTAGTATAGTAGATGACATTCAGATTACTGATTTCTTACATCTATAAGGTATCGATAATTATGTTAATACTGTTTGTTGAATTCAAAATAACTATAATATAAAAATGAATCGCGAAATGTGTTGGTAAGCGCATAACTCAATAACGACTGGACCAATTTCGCTGATTCTTTTTTTGTTATGTTCGTTATTTTTATGTAAAGGTTCTTACGAAAGAAAACTTTAGAAAAGTAACGGGGAATATCGGGAATTAACAATCCGTTCGGTGCTGTGGTCGTTTGCTAAAAAAACTAATGACTGTCGGGTTAGTCGGATACCTACCCTTGCGAAGCAGGGGTTGGTCCGCTAGTAATAAATAGAATAGTAATAAAAAGCGAACACACTGACTTTTTCTACGAACTGCCTCACACTGAAATAATTTTATATCCTTTTACAGGTTTCTTAACAAAGGGGTCAGAAGTGGCTTGATATCATCAGGGTGGAAAATATAAAAAGGGGAGGTAACCCATGTTCGCTCTTTACACTTTGAAGATTCAAGCTTTAATAAGACTCTTGATATTATAAAGCTGTATGATGATGCAGTACCATCAATCTGCCTTGTAGTAAGTTATAGCTTATAATAAACAACATATGATTTAAACTAGTTTCTGCCCATAGAGTTAATAAATGATTCTCTGATTTAAACAACATAACTCAAGAAATTCACCATAGCCAATATCTAATATTCCCAGATGACTTTAAGTTATACTAACAAATGAACAAAAACAATGACATTGGTCTAATCCAGCAAGACTTAAATAGAATTGAGAACTGGTGGAATCTTAATCATATGTAACTCAATGTTGTCACCAGATTGGCGTGTATGCTTGTGCTTGTATCGGATCACGTCAAAAATATTTATGCTTGCATTGCATGCTGCTATCACCTAAAATCACATCCAAAATGATGTAAAAACAAAAAATATTGTTTATCCAAATGTTTTAGACTGCACCTATATAGACCCAGGACCCACCATACTAAGAGTACCCAATTCTTTTTAATTTTTTGGTTTTTAATCTTTACTGATAAATATAATATATAAACAATATATCATTAGGCTCATTAAATAGCTAGCAATTTAAAATATTTTTTGGTCGAATAAATGAACTTTTTTTTTATTACTAATAAAAAGTATTTTCGTATTAGTTTGTATGAACTTGTAATAAATTTTTTTTGGCTT